TGGCTCATGCCCTAAGTATGCTTTATATATTGCCATATCCATTTGAAATAGATGGGCAATGTGTTTTACAGCACATGTGCAAATATCTCCGTATTTTTCCATCTGGGGGTTTATGGGATCTTTCAGAAAATTAATAATGGGGCTCGGAGGAAATGTTCGACTCGGAGGCAGTAGCAGAGATTTATGGCCATCCTGGTGGATGCCAGGGAAAAGTCTGAAAGAGCCCGGAGCAGACGAAGGCCCCGCAATTTCACCAGGCGCTCCCTGAGAGCTAATTTTGCATAATGAACGAGAGCGGGAATTTCCCGACATGGGCCGGCAGGTTGATGGAAAGGCATCGCTCTTGAAGACAAGGAGCTGAGCACCGGAGTGAGGGATGGGAATAAAGGTGGGGAGCAGCACCCATGGGGCTGCTGCCACACCGCTCGGACCCGGGCAGGTCAGGAGGGACATCTGAGCCTTGCTGATGACGGTGACAGCACTGCCAAGCCGCCCCACCAGCCCCCTTCAGCCACCCTGCCTTGCTCCCAGCTCCAGGCATTGTCTGGCTTGGCTGGGAAAGGGACAGCGTGAAGGTCTGTGTGGTTGTCTGGTTAAAGCCACCCTGTTTTCTGGCTCAAGACGTGAGGCAGAGCCTGCTGGGCTCTGCTGGGCTTCCTGATGGATGAGGAAACCCTTGCCGTCACGACGTGGAGACCACCAGGGGCTCCTGGGGCACTGACCCGAGCAGCACCGACCCCATCCTGGCCAGGCCCTGGGGCTGCAAGCATCATGGCGTGAGCAGCCAGTGGCACCGGGAAGGGACATTTAGGGGTCACCACGTACCAAAAGCCACAAATGGCCATGAAGTTGGCTTAGTGACCCATTGCACAGCCCTGCAACTGCAAGCACTGGAGAAGCTTTGCTCCCACTGTCATCTGTCCAGCGGGGCACAGGCAGGGGACAGGTAGGACTCAGCACCCGGCTTTACACTGCTGCTTCAGAGGTCTCTGAGGGGGTGCTGGTGTCAGGGAGACTCCCGACCCAAGCACCTCCAGACCCCTCAGATATGCTGATCTGTGTCTGCTCTGTCCCGTTTCCATCCCCTCTCTCACAATGTCCTGAGCAGGGTCATGGTTCTCACTGCGACAAACCGGGGCTCAGCTGCTGGCTGCCTGCACCCCGGCTGGCCGCTGCTGGCTCTCCGAAGGCAATCCCTCCTCTGAAGCCCCCCAGCACCAGACGTCTTCTGAAAGTGTCACCTCTCCCCGCTCCTCCCAATAAACAAAGGCTGGTGATCTCCCATCTCACGGGTGCACCAAGGGGGAAGCGGCGGGTGGTGTTTATTTCGACAGTGGAGAGGCCCGTTCTTCAAGCTTTTGGGGTAGGGCGTCTTGTCCAAGCTGAAAACATCAGCCGTTTATCTGAATCACGCAGTGGCTGTGTAAATAGACGACTCGCTTCAACGGATGGTGGCTGGTGGCTCAGCAGCCCGTGTGGAGGCCCCCAGCCTGTCACTGATGTAACGGAGACGTAGCATCCCCCTGAACCAGCAATCCCACCCAGGTCTCGTTCCTCGAAGGGTGGGGACGTGAATGGCAGAGGATGAAACAGGGGTAGCAGGGATGAGGTTGGGGCAGCAGCTGAGTGATGAAAGCCTGGAAGGAGGTGCAGCAATGCTGAGCTCAAGTCACAGGGGGACCAGCACGGCTCTGCGGGGGCAGCAGAATCCTAGGGTGGGATGGTCTTTTTGTGCCACTGGCAAATGTCATGATGCAACATCGCAGCTATACCTTAGGGCAGGTCATGGGGTGCATCAGGGTCCCCTCATCGCCAGGGCACTGGTGGGGACCGCTCTTCTCTTTTGTCTTGTTCTCTCCATCACCGCTGAGGTGGGAAAACTCCAGCAGGAGGGAGTTGGCGGGTTTCTCCAGATGGTGCCCTGCTGACCCCAGCCATTCCCAGTCTTCAGGTCTTCCTTAGGAAAACACGGCGTGGGCCAGCCCATCGATTAATGGTTTCCTCATGTTCCCCCCACGTGGCTGATGTGAGAAGCTGCCTCCCCACTCCCCAGGTTCTGCTGAACAGACCCTCTGCCCCCCTGTGCCCCCCTGCCCCGCATAGGTGCTGGGTATCCTGCACACATGGGGAGCATGTGTTGAACCAGCGAATTGTGCCCTAATAGAGATGAAGGGGGAGACAGATAGATTGGATGAAGGAATAAATGAACAAATGAATGAATGACATGGTGATTAACTCTGATGTAATAAATGCCCCAAGGCTTGTAAAAATACACGTGGCATTTTGAAGAATAGCATATTTCACACTGTTTTGCAAGGATGAGAGTGGCTGGAGCAGCTAAACCCCCTGCACACTTGGCTGACATGATCATGAGTGCGAAAAGCATATCCTGCTCTGGTCCTACAGCCCCTCTGGCAGAGCCTGGGTGGCCAAGGGTGGTGGAAGAGTCCTGGTCAGGGTTGGGAGGGCAAGAGAGGGGCTGAGAAACGTAGAGGCCAAAGTTTGCTTAGGAAACTAAATCCGGGAGGTTAAAGAGGCTTGTGAGAGTTGTAAAGCATCGAGTAAAACACCATGTTTGGGTAGGGGGTGGTGGGCAGGGTGTTGTGGTACCAAGGGAAAGCCAGTGCAGGCTTTGCCGTGCGGACCCACTCTGCTGGGAGCTGATGATTCCTGGTCTCACTGCAGGAGGACTAATCACATTAAATCTTTTCATTGCATTGGGGAAGGCAGATGAGAAGGATTTTTTGGGCCTTGGGGGAGTGCAGAGCCGTTGTTCTCAGCAGCAAGTCCTGGTCATAGGAGTCTGGCCACTGTTGCGGACACCGCTGCCTTCCCTGCCTGTCCCTGAGGGCTGAGCGTGGTGGTTGGACAGGTCACCACACCTGAGGGCTGGCAGCAGGCCACCATCCCCTCGTACACCATGTCCACAGGAGACAAAGCACCACTTTTCCATGTTATTAACCACAGAAGCATGGAAAGGACGGGCTGGCAGGGCCACTTTCACTGCTCTCCGGCAGCTGGAGCTCCTACCAAGACCCACATGGATCTGCATTGCAGGACAGAGAGAAGGTGCTTTGTGTACCAGAGAGCAGCAAGGGAGCAAGGAGAGCCAGGAGACCACGTCAGGCCATGACAAGGGACCAAGCAAATAGTTCCTGCCTGTTGAGGTAGGTCTTGCCCCTACTTAGAGACACAGCTCCTCACGAGGTAGCAGGTTCCCAGGGCCCAGCACTGAGCTGTGCCCCATTGGCCAAGCAAAATGTTCTTTGCTCAACTACACTGCATCTAAGGGAGGTGTTTTCCTGTGGGATTCAGGTCTATTTTTATTTATATGGACTTTGGTTACCAAAAGCAAAATGGTGGGAAATAATCTGTGTATGCACCCATCTGTCTTCCCATCCACCCATGTGTCTGTCCGCTAGCATTGGGGTTCAGCTGCCCAAGCTCCTGCGATCTCTTGTGAGCAGATCTGGCTGGATGACACGGAAAAAGAGCATTGAGTTTTCTGTAGTATTCTCACATTTTGCTTCTTTCCTTGGACAAATTCCGGGTTTTCCATGAAAAATGTCTATTGGTGTTTTGAAATGAGAAAAATTTCAACCAGCTGCAAAATTCAGTCCCAAAGCAGGAGGGAACTTGCAAACTTGGCCTCTCTTTCAGCTGCCTTTGAATCTCAAATGTTTTGCCCCAGCTGAATACTAAGAAAAGGTCTGTTAAAAAAAAAAAAAAAAAAAAAAAAAAAAAAGCACTGATGCAAAATCTGTATGGTTGTTTTGGCCCTTCCTGCATGAGGACGGAGCATTGCTGCCTGGAGCAGCCAGTCCTGGCGTGGCATTTCTCGGTGCATGCCTGAGCTCAGCCAGCTGCTGCATGGGGCGGGCGAGATCTGTGCTCTAGGTAACGAGAGCACACCCGAGTGTGCTGAAGTCTTTTCAGATCCTTTGCCAAATTAATATTTTTACCTTGAAGAACTGTTTTGGAAAATGTACACCTTCGTTGTGGCAAGGCGAGTTTGCACCGCAGAATCTCTTGCCCTTGCAAAGCCTACAGCTGCTATGACAGCCTGTGCTGCCACCCAATACCCCCCGCCCTGTGTCACCCACAGGCTCTGGCAGCATCCTGTGGTGACAAGCACTCCCCACCACCAAGGAGGTGACGGGGGATGAGTGGGTGAGGCGGATGTGGAAGTGCCTCAGCACAGCTTCAGCCCGCCAGAGCTTGTGCCAGCCAGCACCCCGCTGCATCAACGCGGGCAGCAAGGCAGCTCCTTGCTTGACTGCTAATTATCCCTTTCTTTTCCCCCTTAAATTAGCTTTGAAAGCAGTTAAGCCTACTGGAAATTTGGCTTGATTGCACTTTCTTTTAACTGTGGCTTTGTTTAAATGTTAGTGTTACGGAGAGCAATGAAATGTAATTACATAAGCCATTAATGAGTATATAAAAACAATACCTAAATAAAATAAACAGCGAGTAATATCATTAATGTTTCTGGTTTTTTTCAGTTACAGCTCTTGGAGAGAGATGGGAAAGTAGAAGAGGTTTTCCAGATATCTAACCTCTGTGGCTGCGAAGCTGTACAGGTTTTGGGTAACTCTAGATGCTTGACCTGCCAGAGAAGTGGAGGTGGGGGGGGGGGGGGGCTTGGGGAGAGCCCCCCACTTGCTCAGTGAGTCCGGTGAGTACAAGGGAGCTGGCTGGGGGTTAGTTACCCAGTCTTGGTAAGGTGGAAGAGCTCCCCCGTGTCTGCCATCCCCATTGTACTCGGACGGGTGGACCACCGCAGAGCCAAGCCTGGGGGCCATGATGGGCCATGAGCCATCGGTCCCTGGGGAAGCCCAGAGCCCACTCGTGTCCAGATACAAAGCTGTGGGTCAGCACAGCCCCAACCTGCAGAGCTGGGGGTGATGGGAGAGAGAAACCCTTTGGCAAAGCTGCCCAGCTTCCCAGCCCACACGCAAACCGCATGTGCATGCAAAGAAGACACAGAATTAGACAGTTGGTACTTATTAGACTCGTGTTATTAAAAATAATAATAATCCCCCCTAAAACGTACATATCTTATATATGTTACACTATGGTCCATAGCATTTGCTAGTTTTTCTTTTTACATATTTCACAGATGCCATCACGTTGGAGGGCCAGATCCCTCTGCATGGGCACCCTCGGAATGGTATTTACATGACACATGTCCCAGCAGCCAGGACCAGGGCACCCCAAGAAGCACAGCAGAGCCTACCCTCAAATCTACATGGGGTGACTCACAAAGGATTCCACCAGCATCCTGGATCTGCCCCATCCAGTCATGCTTTTAAATTATAAAGCAAACAGACAAAGAAGATAAAAAGGCACGTGGACGTGTGTGAGGATTTAAATAGGCATTTGGGAGCAGCTCCATGTCTAAATCCCCTGGGCAGCATTGCTTCTCCCAAAAAACCCAGTGCAGCAGGCGTTGGGCACAGCTTGTCAGGCTGGGTTCCCCAGCCAGTGTTGTTCCCCCTGCCTCTGGTTGCATTTGGCACCCAGCTTTGGTTAAATGCAGACAGAAAAATAACAGTGGTGCGGGGTTGTGCAGCGCAGGGCCCGTGCAAGGCTTGCATGCAGCCTGGATGTGATGTTGCCAGCCTTCTCTGCAAAAAGCCTCTTTTCCCCAGAAAGCTGCTTGCATGGCAAGCGGGGCATGGGAAGGCACGGCCCATGTGCTCTTCTGAGCCAACTCAGCACCAGCCCCGTGAGGATGGCACAGCAGCCCCCAGTTTTGCAGCCCCCCACCCAGACTGTGCCCGTGGTAGCATCCTCACCAAGCCCTGCCCCGAGCTGCAGGCCAGGACAAGCAGCATCTCTGTGCAACCTCATGGTGCCTCCACCACCGTGCTTGGCACCCCAGCACCAACTCAGGGTGACCCAGCCTTGGTGTCCCAGGGACAGCCGAACCCACGTGCAGGGGTTTCCAGCTGGCTGTGCCAGGCAGAGGGAGAGGAAGAAGAAGTAAGATGAATTCTTGCTTTGGACTTTGGGGTGACACAAACAGGGGAAGTCAAGAAAAACATCTTCCAGGCAACAGCCTTAGTGACGATACGGAATAGCATGCTCCAGTCCTTCAGCCAGGATTTTAGGACATCCCCCAGCCAAAGGGGTAAAGCTCCTCTCCTCAGCAGCAGCCCATGGGGGGTCTGGTGGTCCTGCCCCAGCGTCTCTGATCTGCCCCAGCAGATCGTGTGCTCTGGGAGACCAGCTGGGAGACATCCTTCCTCGTCAGCAGTCCCAGATGGCAGAGCTGAAACAAGAGGGGAGAACCATCTGGGAGGATAAATTGAGAACATCAACTGCCAACACCAAAGTCCTCGAAGAGTTTTAGGTGCCCTGCTTCAAAGGAGGATAAATCAGGTGCCAAAAGAAACCCTGGAGCCTCCTGCCCCAGCAGGCTGTGCAATGAACTTTTTGGGGAGCGCAGACACATCGTGTCTCTCCTAAAGGCTGTACTGGCTTAGAGAAAGCACATGCCTTCTGTAGCCCTGCCCTGGTGAGCATCCATGCCCACAGAGAGTGATGCTTCCCTGCTCTTACATGGGCTGTGGCTGCTGAGAAGAAGCCAGCAAGCTCCCACACCCCATGGGGTGATGCCAAGCAGCCCCTGGAGCCATGGGGATGACCCCAATGGGTGTCCCCACCATGCACAACCAGAGGGTGTTCCACCACTGACTCTTGCATGAGGGCTGTTGGGTGCATGGGATCAGAGTGAGCCTGTGGCAAGAGCAGCAGCTCTGCTTCCTGAGCTCCTGGGTGCAACCAGACATAGGAAGGAGAAGAGGGCTGGGTGGCCCATATATTTCAAGGGCCATCTCATGGCAGAGGCCAGTAGCCTATGACAACCAGAATAAGAGGAACCAGGGATGGGAGAGTCCCCTCAGCTCAGCTGCAGGAGGGAAGGGAGGTTCTATGTCAGGGGTGTGGCATAGGACCAGCTCATCCAAGCCCAAGTGGTCCCACATACCCTTTGCCCTTCAGCTTCTGGCCTGCCCCCAGCTCTGCCTGTGCCTTGTGCAGGCACCCAAGCATCCATGGGACCTGAAAGATGGCACCGCAGGCCTTCTGCATCCCTGAAAAGCCTCTCCCAGCATCTCCAACAGCTTCACCAATGCACTGAGCTCCCTGACTAGGGCACCTGCCCACACAGACATCCGCCAGTGCCTAGAATCTCACTCCCCAAACTCCCCTGCCCTGAACCCCAACAGTGCTCCACCAGTGTCTTCAGCTGCAGGCTCCAGCACCACCCTGGGATGCTGGAGCCCCAAAGCACCAGACCACCCAAGGGATGGGGAGTCCACACAAGCTGCTATGGGCTCAAAAGGGCAAAGCATCATCCTAAAGCACTGGAAGACTGTGATGTAGGCTACAGTGCTGAGCCATTCAATAAGCAAGGCAAGGTTTGCAGGGAAAGGAATATCTATTGTCAGAGCACCTATTGTTTCTACTCATATTTATTATGCCAAGACTGCTACAATCTCAACATGGGAAGATACTGATGTCTGTTTGAACTGGAGACTAATACATGGTGAAGAAGATATAAAAGACCAGAGGTGGGTCAATGAAAGCTCTTCTCTCTTCCTGCCACCTCTGCCTTGTGCATCTCCTCGGACAACCCTGGCCACAGTAACACTTCCCAGGAGAGCATGCAGTCAGGCCAACTCTGATGGATGCACACCAAGGCAGACGGCCACTTGGTGTTGGCTCAACAGAAACAGGTGGAATTATGCCAGTTGGTACCAGCTGAGAATATAGGGACATAGACGTGGGTGGATTGATGATGATACATGATGGCTCCAGTCAGCCTGTCCACTCCACTCCGGGTCCTGCTGGCAGGGCAGGCTGTAGCCTTGGTGGATACAGAAGGAGAAAATGGGTGTCTCCAGGTCTTTCCCACTGGGTCGCCTGGATTATGCACCAGCATAGGTAACGGCCAGGGGGTTCTGAAGTCTGTCTCTTTCTTCCTGGTGGGCATAGCTCTGCCTGGTAGTGGCCGCCAACACACTGCCAGGGCCTGGATCCTCCCCATGGCACTGCAGCATCGCATGGGTCCTGTCCCAGGCAGCAGAGCTGGTCTGTGTAAACCCGAGGTCACCAGAGAATCAGGCCTTGCCAAAGTTCATTTGATCTTCCTGATGGAGCTCCTGGGGGTGGTCCCTCTGCAGCACTGGATGGTTTTCACTCAGCCTGCCCATATGCATATCGGGATGAAGGGCAGAAGACTCTGACCTCCCATTCCTACTGGGCAAGAAGTGCAGAGAGAGGTCTGACAGCAGCACATTGTCAAAGAGTGAGGAAAAGATGGGCCCTCGACACTGGAGAAGGGAGAGCTGTCAACTCAAATGCCAACACTGGGCAGAAGAAGACTTTGTTAAAGGTAAAAGAAAAGCCTAGAAAACGAGTGCTACGAACAGCATGCCCGGAGCAGAACATCAATTGCCTTCAAGCTCCTTCAGGCGACAGGCACCCACAGGATCTCGCTCCACTTTGCTCCTTATTAAAGGTTTGTCATTACTGCATTATTTTTAATACACACTTAGAGAAAAAGACCCCCACACACACCCACACATGCACACGCACACACAAAGAGAAACCATTGCCAAAATATACACTATAGACAGAAGAGTCTGTTCACACGCTATATATGTACAGAGTCTCTGGGCGCAGTCTGGCAGCGCACAACCAGGCTGGGGCTGAGCACAGGGTGGGATGGGATGGGTGGAAGCCCCTCAGGGCTTCACACACTTCCCCTTCTTCTCCCGCCGCTGCAGTTTCCGAAGGCGGCGTGTCCAAGCATCCCGCCACTGGATGACCAGGCTGTTTTTATCAGCCATCAGTCCCGGCCGGTCAGTGGAGTTTTCGCTGATCCCCATAACCAAGTACTTCTTGCTGATCTGAATCTTGGGGCACTTGCAGGACAGGTCTTTCAGGTGGATCCACAAGAAGTTGTCGCCACGCTTGACCCGCTCGTCACGGCACTTGTAGACAGAGAGGATGTTGATGGTGAACTTGGCCCAGTTGGCCACCGTCTCCATTTCCAGGATGTTCACCTGGACCACTGAGGGAAAAGAGGGAGAGGCACGGTGACGGGGGATGCTTTGCCTTGCTCCCCAAAAGGAAGCTTTGGCAAAGGGAACTGCCTGTCCCCAGCAGCCCCACATGCCTCATCCGCTGCACCTTTGGGAGGGCTGATGTGGGGACCCCTCTCCGTGCTGGGTACTCCCCATCCCTGGGGACACCTGCATCTCCCCCCCCCCATATCCAGCCTGTAGCTGATCCTCAGCTGCCTTTGCGGCAAAGCCCAGTATGGTCCAGGGAGGTTGGAGGTCCTTACCATAGTCCTTCTTGCAGTACTTCTTCATGTTAATCTTGTAGTTGCCCTTGGCAGGCTTGCAGTAGGAGTCACAGTCTGCAGAGGAAGAACAGAGGTTGAGCACCGAGGGGCTTGAAGCACGTGGAGTCCCAGCCCACCAGAAGGGAAGAGGGTGGAAGGGACAGCAGCAAGACCCAGTCTGGCAGAGGGTGGTGGGTACTCCACATCCCAGCACCTCCAGAAGGCTCCCGAGCCAGGGCCTAGGCTGCTGCTGGGGATGGGGGTCCAGCAAGTCCAGCTGCCACCCTGGCAGCTCACAGGGGCTGGAGGCTCAAATCCCAGCATGAACACTGACACCACATCAGCTGGGAAGGGAAACCAAGTGACTCTGAGCTCACTGAGCAGACCGTGTCACCTTCAGTGCTGATGGTGTCCTGCAGGAAAAATCAGCACAGGGGTGGCGGAGGGAGCCTAGGGACTCTCCTCGGGGATGCAGAAGGGGATGGATGGGGGAAATGCAGGTGAGGTGATGGTGGCCACCACAGCAGGCAGGGGCCATGGCCAAGGAGAGTCATCCAGAACAGCTGTGGCCCTGCAAACCTGGGTGACGTGGGGAAGAGAGGACTCAGCACCAACCCCACCACTGGCCCTGCGGGGAGGGGGCCTCCGGCCAAGGGGGCTGCGATCCTCAGGGCCAACCCAGCCCTCTGGGGCCAGGGTTGTAGGAAGCATCCTCATGGGGCAATCCCTCCAGAGACCTGCGCCTCGCTGGTGCCCCAAAAATGGGGAATGGGACTCAGGCCGGGGGGTCAGGTCAGTGAAGGAAGCAGCTCTGCTCCACCAGGTCACTCCTGCTGCCCAAATATCCCCTGCTCAGGCTGCTCCAGAATGGCTGTCCTCCACCCCACGAAGCATCCCTCCCTCAAGGAGGCTTTCTTCTGTGCATTTCTAAAGTCCCCAGATTTGCATCTCAAGCAGAGGGAGGGCAGGGAATGCCTCTTTCCTTCTCCCCAAAGGCTTTGATCCCAACAATTGCCTGAAGCAGCCGGGTTCTCCTCCTTTCTTTCCCCCTGCCATCTTCCTTTGAACATCTCAATTTGTCTCTTTCCAAATGGCATGTTTTTTCTAAGCCCATCTTTCTTCTTTTCTCTCCCTCTTGTAGGTTCTCTCTCCCACTTGGCCCCACATCCCAGGACAGAGCCAGCAGTCCCTGAAGTTGTCTTTGTTTGTGGGTTGCCACAGCAATCACTGGGGATGGAGGCTGGGTCTGGGGAAAGACGAGGGAATAACAGCACTCTGTGCCAAGAGGAGGAGGAGAAAAGAGTAAAGAAAGAAGCCCAGAAGCACAAACTTGCCCTGGGCTCTGCTGCTCTCCTTTCTGCCTGGCTCTTTTTTATCGGGGACTTTGTGCCGCCTGTTCCAAATTTGTCACTGATAGAAGTTGCACAGCACGAAGCTAATGCTTGGCAGAGGGATGTGAGCCCTGGTTCTTGGCTCAGCCCTGCCATGCTACCGTGCTGCCCCTCCGCCTGGGCTGGCAGAGCTGCCCCGGCCCCGCTGCAACCCCTGGGACAGCAGAGAGGGGCAGGGGACCCCCGTGCCAGGTGCCTGCTGAGTGCGCTTGAAGCGCTCGGCCGCGGTGCTGAAGGTGCCCCCATCCACTGCATCCCTGGGGTGTGCTACAGCCCCATCCCGGACACTGCTGCATCCCCGGGACATGCTACAGCTCCGTCCCTGACACTCCGCTCTGTCTTTTCTTGCTACCTGAAGGGGATTCCAAAAGGGAGCTCCTGCTTTATTTTGGGCAGTGCCATTTTCCTCCCCACGCAGAGTGGAGGAGGCTGGCTGTGTGCTCAAGGAACTGGACTGGCATGGAGAGACTACCAGGCGCTTTTTGGGGACGAGTGCAGGGTGTGCCCCTCCTCACCCACCACAGGGCCCAAACTGGCTCCCAGCCCTGTGTGAGCCTTCGGAGAAGATGCAGGGCCATGAGGGGTTTGCGGTGCCCCCACTGCTGGGAGCCGTGCCACCGCAGTGGTTTGCCAGCACCACGCCATGCAGGGCCAGGTGGCGAAAGGAGGCAGCCGTGGGGTGCAGAAACCACCCCGCAGCTGGCATTGGCTCTGCCATGGGCCTCTCCGTGGGCACTGGGTGCTGTGGCGGAGGAGGGTGGCACGAAGCAGGGTGTCTGCGGGGAAGACGGCCAGGGCAGCTGCCACACGGTGCCGAGCCCACGCCAGTGCCGAGCCCGGGGGCAGCGGGGCGGTGGGTGGTGAGACTGGGCTGCAGGGCAGCCTTGGCCAACCTGCCACCCATCTTGCTCAGCGATGGAGAAGAAAGAAAAGTAAGAAAAGCAGAAGGAAAACCAGTATCTTCCCTGGGCTCCTGCTCATGATTCACATCATAAAACTATGTTTCCAAAGAGACAGAAGACAGTGTTGAGAATTATCAATTTAGGGTTTGGGGATTTTTTTTTAACCTCAGCTTTGTGCCGAGGAACATTTCTCAAATATACAAATAAATTCCTGCTCAATTTATGTAAAAAACTTGGGAAGAAACAAAAGAAAAGACCAAGTAACTGGAAGCATTTCCTCTCCTTGCCTTTGAGCATGTGGCCTCCACGGCCGTGTGTGGGGCGGGTGTGGGTGCTGTGGCTGGGGAAGTGGCCAGGCGAGGGTGCCAGGGCTGCCACCCGGCTCAGTCTCCACCCGGGGCGGGGAGGTCCTGTCTGCACCTCCACAAACCCCCTAGTGCTGTCCCCACAAGGTCCCCCTGCAGCAGGGTTCTACTCAGGGTCTCAGCCCCCCATCCCTCACCGGGACACAGCCATGGACCACGGTTCCATCCTCCCGTGCCCACCAGGATGCCACGTGCTGGGCAGTGGCTCTTCCCACAGTCTCCCGGAAGCCTGGCCGCAGCTCTGCCTGCCCTGCCAGCCCAGCTGGGCAGCACACTCTCTGTCCACCCCACAAAACCATCAGGAGAAGCTGGATGGCCATCAGAGAAGCCGCTTCAGGATTGTCACTCCCCTGGAAGCTCCCAGAGCATCCCCCACCTTCCCAGCTCTCTTTTAAATTTCCCAGACGCGGTGCTACACATGCTGCAGGGTACTGGAAAGAAGATCAAGTTTAGCCTCCGCCTGCAGCCACCCTCCTGCTCACCTCCTCCAGCCGTGTCTGTGCAGCATGACAGGGCAGCCAAGCCCTGTGGAGGGGCTGGGGGATGGCCGGGACCTGCCACAATCCGAGGCTGCGAAAGCGCACCCACAAACCCTGAGATGATGCTGCATCCCCTGGGACGTGCCACAGCCCCGTCCCAGACACCGAGGCCCCCCTGAGATACGCTTACAGTCCTGTCCCAGGCACGGCTTGCTCCCACTGGTGTCCCAGGGGAGCTCCTGGCCAGGCAGTCCCAGCTCCTTGGCCATCTCTCACCAGTGCTACCATAAAGCTTCCCTGGAGCAACCGGGAGACCCACATCAGTGGCAGACTCAGCAGATGCTGGCAAGGGGTGGGAACCTCCACAGACACCAGGGAGGGTGGCTGCCACAGGCGGGCACCCACCGAATCACTGCCTGCTGATGCCAGTCTGGCATCAGCCCGTGGGGCGGGCAGCAGCACCCTGTGAACAGGAACATCTCTGCTGCCAGCCGGGAACCGGCCTCTGGGGTGGATGGACAGCGTGGGGCAAGCACCGGGTGAAGGCACGGGAGGAGGCGGTCAGCGAGCCACTGGCCCGGCATGGGCATCCCCCGCCTCTGTGGGGGGAGCACGTGTGAGAGGCGGCAAGTTCGCACATCTGGTTTACTTCTCCTCGCCTTGAAAAAAGAAGGAATATTTTGTTTTAAGAGAGATGTAACTTAATTAGGTGTTATGGCTGCAAATCTTTTACTGCTGACTTTGAATTCCTTTAAAGCCCTGTTTTGTGCTCCACGAGTTTTGTTAATTCTGCTAATGGGGAACAAGGATTTTTATTTTTTTCCACTAAGTGGAAAATATTTTAAGATAATAATAATAAAAATTATGAGAAGTGGACCCAGGACATTTTGCTGCTGAGCCAGTTGGCCGCTTGGGCAGAAAGATCAAAGCTGGACCTCAAAGGCTCCAAAGGTTCAGAAAGGCAGGAGAAAGCTGGGAAGAGCGATGCAGAGGATCTCAACATCAGTAAAAAGCCCAAATGCACCCAGGGACAGGACCCCAGCAGGGAGGAGGACGGGGAGAGGGGGGGGAAGCCCAACACCTGAGCACAGCAGCCCCAAACAATGTCCCCCCTGTTCCTGCAGCCTGGCACCTGATACCAGAGGCAGGGAGGGAGCTGGGGAAATGGGGGGAGAAGGGACTCGGAGGCTGTCTGGGCACTGGGGGATGTGAGCCCTCTCAGGGAGTGCCCTGCTTGGGGGAGAGCCCGGAGGTTCCTAGGGGAGAGGGGTGCAGGCAGCAGGCAGGGTGAGGTGCTGTGGCAGAGTGCTGCGCCCCAGGCAGAGTTGGGCAGGGCAGGATCACCTGCACCAGCTCTGATCCCCCCAGCAAATGGGACAGTAGGACCCCAACCAGGTCCCCTCTCCCCTGACGCAGACTCTGGGCAGAGGCAAGCTACTTTGTATTAAAGATATTCAAGCTAGAAGCCAGAAATCTTAAAACAACAAGCCCACAGATAAAACTAGAGGCAGTTTAAAGCAGAGCTGCTCTGCTAAAACAAAGTAAACACCCTGGTCTCCAGCAAGTACCATTTATTTTTACACAGTTGAGAATATCAGACATCACTCTAAGACTGTTCCTATTTATAAAGCGCTGGAGGGGAGTCACCTTGATTAACTCTGCTCCATGTGTCACTCTCTGTTTGCAATAAAACCATCCAAATCCCCCTTCCCCCCTCCGCCTTTTTTCCTCCTCACAAAGCCTGGTGTTCCCAGCTCCCTCCCCGGCAGCAGGCAGGGCAGGCAGGGGCAGAGGTGGCGGTGGTCTGCCCTGCCCCACGCCACCTCCCCAGCAGCGTTCCTGTCACAGACAGCTCCGCTCTTACGGCCGTCCCCGCTGTGCCAGACACGCACCCCACCGAGGGCGGCTCTCCTCCGCTGCTGCAGCGTGGAGCAAAACCCCTGCCAGATGATCCGTGCTCAGCTCCCGTCCCGACAACGGCTCCCGTTTCTGGGAGCCTCTGCGGAGCAGGGCTGGGAGGGCTGAACCGTGCCGGTGGGTGCCGGGCTGTGCAGCACGCCCAGCCTCCGCATCAGTCAGCGTGATCCGTGTGGGTGTGCGCGCACAGGGCCCAGCACTGCTCCGTGAGGAGCTGAGCTACCAGCCTCCCCCCCGACACATCTCGTCTCTCCATCTCCATCCGCGTGCTTCACTCCTTCCATAGCTCTGTACCCCTGACACTCCTCGTCCCAGTCCCCCTCCTACGGCCACCCTGTACGCACGTGGCTGCAGAGGCCATGCTGGAAGATACTCCCAAAAGGCTGAGGAGCACATCACAGGCATGCACCAGCCTGGCAGGGGGCTGCTGGCGTTTTCCACTCCTAATGTGGGGTGGTTTTGAGAAGGAGAGCTGGGGAGAAGGATGCATGCAGGGCACTGGGTCTCCAAAGAGCGTGCAGGCTCCCCCAGGATAGATGTACCCCAAACAGGGCACGGGGAAGCTCCTCATTAAATACGGAAATGAGGAGCTGAAGGTGCCCCTGCTCTCTTCCCAGGACCACATGCCATAGGATGGAGTGGAGGATGGTGCAGGATGCCTATTACTCCATGCTGGCATGTGGGAGAAGACCAAGGTCTTGGGGACTGCAGGATGAAGGGTGGCCCAAGGAGGAAAAGGGCTGCTTCTTTCTGTAGCTTCTGCCCCTCGACCTGGTTTGGGATCCCTACAGAGGGGGATGGCTAGGAACAGCCACACTTATGCTGCTGGCAGGACTGTGGAAGGAGAGGGGGGAGAGAAAGAAAGGTTGAGGGAGGTGATTCTTCCCCTCTACTCCACTCTTGCAAGACCTCCCCTGCAGTGCTGGGGCCAGCTCGGGGGCCCCCAACAGCAGAAGGATACGGAGCTGCTTGAGCGGGGCCAGAGGAGGCCACGGAGATGCTGGGGGGGCTGGAGCAGCTCCCCTGGGAGGCCGGGCTGAGAGAGTTGGGGGGGTTCAGCCTGGAGAAGAGAAGGCTCCGGGGAGACCTTCGAGCGGCCTCCCAGGGCTTAAAGGGGGGACAGGAGAGGTGGGGAGGGACTCTGGATCCAGGGGCGTAGGAATAGGATGGGGGATAATGGCTTAAAACTGAAAGAGACTAGATTTATATTAGAAGAAAGAAATTCTTCACTGTGCAGGTGATGAGACATTAGAACAGGTTCCCCAGAGCAGCTGTGGCTGCCCCCTCCCTGGAAGGGTTCAAGGCCAGGTTGGACGGGGCTGGGAGCACCCTGGGCTGGGGGAAGGGGTCCCTGTCCAGGGCAGGGGGGTTGGAACTGGATGATCTTTAAGGTCCCTTCCCACCCAAACCAGTCTGTGATCCCACAAAAAGCCCTGCTATGGCCCTCTCTGACGCATGGCCACGCGTGCCTCTGAAGAGCTGGCCTAGCATCAGCACAGCCCATCCGCTCCCACCACTGGTGACCGCCACACAGGGCACAGAGGTGCCAGGAAGACAGAGGGAATGGCAGGGATGGCTGATAGAAGAGGGGCCGTGACATCTGCCACGGCATCTGCCGGGCTACATCCTGCAGCACCAGGGAGGGCTGAGCATGGCAGTGGTGGCATAGGGTCTGGAGGTCAGCACCCAACTGTGTGGTGCTATCGGCGTGTGCTGTGTCAGGGTGGGAGCTGAGGGCACCTCGCTGGGGCCCTGGCAGCTGTGGCTGGGCTGGAAGAGGGACCCTGACCCACCAGTGCAGGCAGCATCCATGCACCCACCAGTGCCCAGCCCCAGCCGAGCCTCTGCAAGAGCATGAGCAAACCTGCAGCATGTGTGGAGATGTGATGAAGCTAGGGCAGCTCTTGAGGACCTCTAAGGACAGTGGAAGAAATGTCTCCTTCACCCATGCAAAGCCTGCAGCCGGAGCTGTCCCCTCTCCCACCGGGTGACAGCAGCAGTGACATCGATCCTCCTGTGGTCCCATGGCCCCATCAGCCCACAGAGCCAGGATAAGCAGCTCAGACACAGATGCTTCACTCCACCAGACCTGGATGGGACAAGCCCTGTGTCACCCATGACCCCGGGGAGCCCTGGCAGCCCGTGCCCCAGCACCGGGGCTCCGCAGCCTGCCCAATGGACCCCCACCACCCTGGCGCTGCGCAGAGAGCCAAGGCCCCGTCATGGTAAAAGGCACTGAGGAGAAACCTCTTGCACTGGCACCGATAAAAAGAGATCATAAAAAGCCAGCCCCCAAGCGCCGCTGAACCATAGGTGCCGTATGCCACAACTCCTGCCACAACCTGCGGAAGGGCGGCGAGGCCCTGGCAGGTTACACCCCTGCTTTCCTCCTCAGAGGGAACGGAGAAAACCTTTCCTTGGGAAAGTCCCATCAAGCTTTGTCGATCCCTTTACCAGAAATACACAGGATTTCAGATCCCAGCCATTTTTTTTTCACCAAAACTGTTTGCCAAAATTCTTCACCATTAATCTTTTTGCCAAAGGGTTTGACAGGGCTCAGCCCATCTCCTTGGTGTGATGGGGAGAGGCGAGGTGGGATGGGACATGTCTGGGCAGGGCTGGGTTAGTGTGGACTTGGCCTGGGACACAGAGCACTTACCTGCAGGCGCCTCCGTGCTGGTCACCAGGGAGGTGGGATTGATGGCAGGGATCTCTGGAAGAGAAAGGGAGAGATGTCTTAAGGAAAGGGGTCCCCAGTTCTGGGGGTGACACCTGGACAAAAGCCCTCCGCAAGCAGGATGTAGAGGTGGTTTTTTTGGGTCACCTTTGACAGCTTGTTAAGACAGACAGATGAGATGAATCTGACCTGAATATCACATGCCCAGAAATGCCCAAACTGATCTTAGTAAGTTGGGACAGTCTGAGATGCTGCAACTGCCAAGAACCATAAGTCACTGCTGTAGAGGACACGTGTTCTGGGGATGGACAGACAAACAATGCTTGGCTCCGTGCTGCATGCTCCATGCTGCACAGCACGGGGATAAGCACAAGCAAAGACAACACTTTCTCGGGACTCCTGACAACAAAACCTGGGGGAAATTCTGTCCTAACCCCAAAACTGGGGAACAATAGAGGGAGAAGAGCCAGCCCCACCAACTCCCCCCCACTGCCACTGCTTCAGCAGTGCCAGCAGATGCTGCAGGGTGGCAAGTTGTTCCTCTGTTGCCTGGATCAGATTCAGACTCATGACAACAATAAAAATGATTTTACACTGACCACAGGATCTGGCCTTGCCCCAAACCTGACCGCACTCAGGGCTCAGCTGGGTGAGGAAGGCACCTTGCTGCAGCTGAAGACACGTTTCAGCCAGCTGGAAGCGCTAACCCAAGGGGTCTTTCAGCACCTCCTGGGCTGAGGGGGGCAAGGCACGGGTGCCCCCAGAAGGTGACCCAACCATCCTGCCCTGGTCACCTTCTGGAGCACAACCACGTGGACGGGCAGCCCCTTGGCTCAGCCTCCCACCCACCGCAAGCCAGCCCAAGGAGCATCCCCTGGTGCTGGTGGGGGTCCCCGGGCACCGGGCAGGGTGCGGCGGCACTCACTGATGCAGGGGGCCACTGGCGAGCGGCTCTGCTGGTAGCCCTTGGCACAGCGGTTGCAGGTGAGGCCGGTCACACCGTCCTTGCACGGGCACTGCCCTGTCGTCTGGTTGCAGGTCTTGCCGGCGGCGCCGACAGGGTGGCAGTCACAGGCTAGGGTGAGAGAGAAAGCGTTCCGTGAGAGTTGATGCGCAATGCAAATCCCAAACTGGACCCAGTGGTGCCACCACTGGAGAGGTGAGGAGGAGGGTCCTTCCAGCACACCAGTGGAAAGCAGGCGCTGGGGCTGGCTCAGCCAAGACCCTTCGGTGCAGACCACGGCCCCACGCATGCTGAGCAGCACACGCAGGACAGAGAGCATGAAGGGCTTGGCCAGGGTACAGCACCCGCTGATGGGGATGCTGCTGATGGACCCCTGGAGACCCCACGGCTCACAGAGGCACCTGCAATCTGGTGTTTAAGGATCCTTCCTGCCCGCTTTGCAGGCAGCTGCCCTGGGGACGGCCCAGCACACATGCAGGAAGGAGGAGGGATTTCCACGGGCAGCCCTGCACCTGCTGCCAGCCTTGTCCTGTGCAAGCAACCGGAGCAGGGCCCACAAATGGGCTAGGCAAACCCTCATCTGTGGCCAGGGTGGGACTGGGGGAACCGCAGGAACAGAAAGTGGACACATACCCACCCAGGTCTGCTCTTCTCCCTCCTCAACCCCAGGGCGATGTTCCTGTTGCAGCAGGAAAAGGCATTTTCCCCACTTGTGCCCCCACTTCTGAGCTTTCCAGTCCACAGAGTTCAACCAACACCAAGCTTTTACATAAACTTTGGCCTTCTTTTTGGTTTAGGATGGTCTGAAGCGGATCTTTGTGACCTTTCCCAAACTCATGAGCCTCAACACCCATCCTGTCTCCTGGGGACCCCAGCCAAAGGCTGTCTCCATGGCTTGTCCCCACAGCCTCGCCAGGGGAAAAATCCCACCTGAGGTGGGTGAAAGTTGGGTGTCCATCCTCAGGACAGCCCTGCAGTGGCTCTCCATCACACAACACTGGATGACGGACCCACCAAGGGTTGTCTATGAGGAGGGGTGCGGGAAGGAGCAGCTCACTCAGGAAAGGACCTTCCCATCTGCCTGCCCGGGGCTGGACTGGCTCTGAGCTGGAGGAGGCTATCTTGGCCTCCATCAGTGTAAGAGTTGAACATGATTCCAAAGCAAAATAAAAACACCCCACCCTCCCCCCACCTGCCCCTCCAGCCCCCCGATGTTATCGTTTCCCTAATTTTCACCAGATGGGACTGGTGGGAGCACCACGGCACTGCTCCTCGGGCCCTCTCCCTCACAGTCAGAAACCAGAGCGAGCAGCCTCTAATGGGGAACAGATGCTTCAGCCTTATCAGATCTTGCATGGGCCTGGAAACGGACGTCTTTCTGACAAGGATATTTTGGGGGCTCAGCTGTGATAACAAATGGCAGCAAGCGAGGGAGTCTTGGCATGACGTAGGGCTGTTGGAAACATGGGGTCTTTTTTCGGCCACAACAGGCTTGTCTCCTGTCGGGGTGGCCGGCTCTCTCCAGTGAGACAGGCTTTCCTGGCTCTCCTGCAAACACGCACCGTCAGGTTATCAGGGACCCCCAGAGGTCCTGAGATCATTCAGCCCTGGGCCGCGAGGAGCAAAACCAGCAGTGATGGTCCCGTGCTTGGCCTGCCTTGGGTGACCCATGCGGACAGCACCAGTGCTTCACCCCAGGGGAGAACATCGGGCTTACCACTCTCTCTTGAACCATCATGCCCAGGGACATTTCAGCTACTTCAGGTGCATCCTGATGGTCTCTCTATGCCTACCCCACAGGGATCTTCTTCACGGGCTCGGCTGGATCCTGCAGTACTTAGAGGAAGCAGGTGCCTTTGACAAGCTGGCAGGTACGCTTCTTGGAAACCGTCCATTTCTTTGTCTCTTTTCTGATAGCAAAGGCTTGGGCTTCTGTTAGTGGGGCTGGGCATGAAGCGTCACCCATCCTCATCACCACCCGTGTTGGAAAGAGCAGCCCGGTGACACCAGCACCACCCCAGTGCTGCCCTGAACAAGGGGCTCTCGCCCCACCATTGGTGCTCGGAGGTGCTCCCAGGGCCACAGCACCCACCTCCAGCCAGCGAAGGCCAACCCAGCCCAGAGTGGCTGGGCACAAGCCCTGCCAAACATCCACTCGTCTGAGACAATGACCGTGCAGGGCGAGCTCAGGGATCCCCGCAGCCACCGCTCCTGCTCTGCATGCACAGCAACAGTCAGTGCCCTACAAAATTTATGGCCAAAGGCACGCTTCCAGCAAAGATTTATATGAGTGCTTAGCTTCACACGTTGCGGATAATCTCTTGGGCCCCAGCGGTATATTCCTGGTGTAAAGTCTAAGGATGGACATAAATCTCTGCACAATCAGGGTCCAATTCATCTAAGCAGATCCCTCTTTATGCGGTGGAAGAAGGCTTTCTACGACTCTTAATGTTTTAGCTGCGTCAGCAATTAAGGCAGTTTTGCTCATCTTACGTCTGCAACAGACATGTGTCTTTGGGAGAGGAGCTTGGTCCCTGCCAGGCCACCTTCTGGCCCCTCACACCACTGTGGTGGGATTTCCCGCAGTCCCACGAAAGTCCATTTCTCCTTCCCTCTCTGACAGGAAGAGCATCCCAGGCAGCACTCGGTGCTTACCCCAACCAATCCTGCATCCCACCACTCCAGCTGTAGCATCTCCATCCCTCTTCGTCCTGACACGACCCAGAGAGGGGCTGGGGGACCCCATCCTGGCACCAGGGCACAGCCCAGCTCCCTGCCCGCTGCCCACACACCGAGCCCTGCTGCTCGCGCCCTGCCGGCTGCCAGGATCTGGCCCATCGTGCTTGAATGGTGAATTAAGTCACTAGCTTGGAGCTTAACTCATCAAGCTGTGCTTGCCAGAAAGCATGTCTTGCACCTAATATTGAGGGTATTTTTGCGTCTTAAGGCTTAGCTGCTACTGCTTCACCAGTTTTCATTGGAGAAAGCTCACTGTTTATAGCTTTGTTTAAATTACAGGGATTAATGCACAGCCATTCTTTATTTGACTTTTCAATTACCACCATTGAATTAATCCTGTAGGTTGTTCTGCCTTTTCCATCCTCCCAGCTTTTCCATCCTGCAGCGTCCAGTGGTGACGCCGGCGGCTGGAGGGCTGGAGGGAAGAGGGAAGAGGGAAGGAAGAGCTCGCCTCCCCACTCGCCAGCCGGTGGCTGAGGGCTCTGCTCGGTTGCTGGCAAGAGGTGTGGGCTTGTGCAATCTGCAGTCGCTATTTTTGTGCCTATTTCAAAGACATCGCATCCCAGCAGGGATGAACCATGGTTTGATAGTTATTTAGCAACATGTTTTGGAGTTTGTTGAGATAAAACATAGTAGCTTCTGGCTTCTGGGCTAGTGTTTCGCCCCCCAAACACAAACCAAGCTTCATTCCTAATGCCTGCAAAACTCGCCTTTGCTGGGATGTTCAGCTTCTGCCCTGGACCAGCGCTGTGGTGGGTGCAGAGACCCTCATTCAGAACTGCAGATGTCAGTTCACAGCAGCTTGCTTCACACCTGCTTTTATCTGCTGTCATGAGCCTTGCTTTTCATTTTCTTTCTTTTTTCTTGCAGGAGTGTAGGTATCTGAGCTGTAGGTACAGGACACATCTTCCGTAAAACCAAGTCCAAACTGTCTTGTCACATCTCCACCCATTTATATATCTCTTTGGCAGCACCAGCTCCCATTCATGGCACTGGGCCGGCAGGCTCCCAGGTGCTGGTGCTACTCCAAGGAGCTCCCAATCCCAACGGATCATCCACCAGTGGATAAGTACAAGACAGGGGTGAAAACTCTCTGCTTTACTGAAGGAGGGGCAGCCAAAGGATCAGAAGCATCAGGGATTTTATTATTAACTCAGTTCCCTAAGGCAGAGCCAGGAGCTGGCTCCCAAGACCCAGTGTACTGCCTTTACTGCCAGACCCTCCTCAACATATGCACCGTAGCAGGGGACAGTCCTTGTGCACATGTTCATCTGGCTGGGCTGAACCTTTGCAGCATTTCCAAACTGTGGGCAAACACTGCCAGCCCTCTGGAAGCAGCACCCCCCGTGGACAGGGCTGGCAGAGACCTGCCCGTGGCTTGGCACGGGGACAGGCAGGTTTGTCTGCAAGGCGGGGGCTGCTGCAGCACCCCACTCCTCTGCTCCACTGCAGCCGGGATATCGCTCACTGGCGTTTCTCCTGTACAGTGGCATCAGCCCTTGACCCTCCCAGCAGCTCCTGAGCACCTTAGGCTTTTCTGCCCACATCATCCCCTCCAGAGGAGCCACCTTGAATCTGAGATGCTTTCCATCACCTTAATGCTCCACAATTACTGCCCTGCGAGGATGGTGGAGCAGGACTAGCCCTCACAGACCACAGGCTGCTGCCTGAATTAAGCAGGCGCAGGCAGATGGAGGCAGCCAGGGCCCCTCTGCTTCCTCCATCCTCCGCCCTGAAAACAGAGGGACCTGAGTCACCGCCTGGGTAGGAAGCACTGAGCCTGCAGTGTCCCCCGTCCCACAAAACCGTATCCAGCTCTGACACACACGTTGAGCTGTATTCAATTACCCTCCTCCCTGCTTACAGCACCTAGCCCAATCCTGCTTTATTTATTATTATTATTATTATTAGTAGTAGTAGTAGTAGTAGTATTAGTATTTTGGTAAGTGCTCTCTTCCCTGTCTGGACCCTCAATACCCAGCACAGAGTCAGCACTGGGAACCCCAGGTCCCACAGGGAGGCAAACACCTGCAAGGCTTCCACTTTTCTTGGGATATTATCACATAATTTTGGTAGCAAAAGTAGAAGGATCCGGTGAACCAAAGGAGAGCAGAAACCCCTTGTTCGGGGAGGGGTGGGGAGGTTGGGCGCTACCCGCAGAGGATGGGAGGTGAGGTGGAGGTGGCACAGCCACCCCAGTGCCTCGTGAGCCCCAGTGCCAGTCAGGGTGATCCAGGGCTGCCCGCAAGCACCCAGCACTCAAGGAAAATCCTCACAGAAAACAGGAATTTTGCTGCAGCTGCCCCAGTCCAGCAGTGCTGCATCAGGAGCCAGGGGCTGCTGGCATCCCTCTCTGGCCTCAGTCGGAGCCAGGACCCCTCCCAGGAATGGGACATGACCCGGGATGCTGTGCTACAGACCTTTGGGATGCACGCCTTGTCCTGCCTCCTCCTCTTACTCCCTCCCAGTGCCTCCCAGTGTCACACCAAGGATGCTGCCACCTGGCATGGTTTTACAACCTGGTTGCCACCTGGCACGAGCCCTGTCGATGGGAAACCCTTGCTGCTGCTGGGGGGCTCCTGTGACACAGCTTGGCCAAGGCCGTGGGGCTGGGGAGCCGCGCATGGTCCCCTGGGGACACGCGGTGCTGAGGTGTCAAGTCAGCTGCTTGGGTTATTAAAAATGGCTAGCTGGCCATGTGCTCACGAGCTGGCTGCAGGCAGGGCTCCCCCTGAAAGCGCCTGCTCAGCTCTGCTCCCACTACCTCTGTGGCATCGGTCAAACGTGGGAAGTTTCTCCATTTTCTCCATCCTCTCAACCGCTCCCATGGGGACAGGGATGGGGAGAGGGAGGGGTGGCTCACACAGCACAGGAAAAGAAGGAATTTTACCTATTCCATCCCAGACACAAATGAGCCATGCCTACAAAAACTAATGCACCCAAGAGGGGAAACCCAAAAGCCAAATCCTTCAATTCAGGTCTGTGGCCACAATGTTAATGGTCCAAAACCAGCTCCAGCAGTTCCCGTAGGCCCTACATAAACACACTAGCACCATGTTCTTACAGCAGCGAAGGTGCCTGGTGCCCACAGAGCTGAGCAATGCACCAGAGAGGGATGCTGCACTCCCTTACAGGAGGTACTTGCAATCTAAGCTGGAAAAAAAAAGATCAGAGATGAGTTCCCGGCCTCAGAGCAGCCATGGCCAACCTCCTGCCTGCTCCAGTGTTTGAGCCTGGATCCTGCCAGTCCATGGGGATGGGCAACGTGTTTTGCTTATCTCAACTTCTTCGGTGAAACTATTGTTTTGAGGCTCCACAGAGTGATAAGAGAAACCAGACAGGCTTGGCCAGGAGCTAGAGGAGGGAGAGGAAAGTTGCAGGTCCCACAACATTTAGCACAGGCTGGGGACCTTGCGAGGTCAAGTTGCGGCTTGATGGCTTGGAGATAGTATGGCTCCTGGCCAGCTCAGGGGACGAGCCACCCTGCCCACAGGCACCGAGAGCCGTAGTGCTCAGCATCCCCCCCAAAACAGGTCCCATAGCTGAAACGCACGCCAGGGGGTCCTGCACTGTAGCCCAGCAGGGAGATGGAAACCTCCATCAGCATCCCTGGCCCATCAAGGCAGGGAAGTCACCACGGGTCATTTTGTGAAGCAGCTTGAATGCTTTCATAAGTGTTTATGGCCCAGACAACGTCAGTGTCAGAGACGGGTTTCCAGCACATTTAGTCACGTGCTTTCTCCAGTGCCTGCCCAGCATCTCTCCGACTGTGGAGACGGTAACTGGGGCCACAGCAGGACCCTTCTGGGATGGACCAGGCTCCTGAGAGCCTGCTCACTCCCTGTCCGTCATCCTCCGCATCCCTCGAGGAGGTGCTGGGCTCGAAGTGATCTCCCTGCCTGGTGCCCTTGGGGTGGCACAAGTGACGAGGGTGACTGAGGCTGGAGGTGACCTGCAGTTGCCAGAGGGAGCAGCTGAGCTCCGAGCAGAGCAGAGGGACGTCCCGAGGATGGGAGGGAAGAGCAAGGAGACCAAGAGAGGTTGTATCACCCGCACTGCCGGCATGGAGACCCCCCCAGCTTACCTTTGCAGGCCTTGCGGTCTGTGATGGGCTTGCTGAGGTCGCGGTAGAAGCCCTCCTTGCAGTAGTGGCAGTGCCGCCCCGCGGTGTTGTGCCGGCAGTTGAGGCAAACGCCTCCGCTCTTCCTGCCCGAGAGCTTGTACAGCTCCATGTTGAAGCGGCAGCGCCGGGCGTGCAGGTTGCAGTTGCAGGCTGAAAGGAAAGGAGAGAGGATGAGGGCTGGAGGCGAAACCTGGGAACCCCCCTGGGTGGGCTGGAGTTGCCCCAGTGCCCTCTGCTGCCGCTGGGGGCCAGGGCTGCCCACGCTGGGGGAGTGGGATGGGCAAGGCAAGGCACGGCACAGCTGGCCCCAGCGTGCCATCCAGATGTGCAGTATCCGCTGCCCCACGGGGCCAGTGCTGGGAGGTCAGGGCAGAGGAAAAAGGGCACAGGTAGGGACGGGGCAAAGCAGGCACGTGTGGGATGGAGGGGTGCAGCTGGGGGGTCCGGCAGGGCCAGCAGGGCATCTGCAGCCCCGCCATCCCCCCGCCACTTCCACGGCAGCTGGTTCCAGTGACAGAGCCTGGCCAGCCTTTCGGCAAGACCACCCGCCTCGTACCGGGGTCTGCGACGGCGTGGCCCCTGCTGCCTCGCAGGGTGCCATCCTCAGCGTCGGCAGCGGAGCCCCCCAGTTCCTCACGCTTAAGGCTCTACCCTGTGCGCGTATGCACTCACACAAAGAAGCCCACGTAGCAGCCCGTGTGCGCACACCCAAACGTGCACAAGCACACACACCAGCTCATGTGCACACAAACAGGTACCCGTGAGCATGCACGCACACACATGTGCACAGAAACACCCGCAGACCGTTACACGTGCACAGATATGCACACCGGCGTGCATGCTCACACATGCAAGCATTCACATTCATGCGCATGCTCATGTATGTGCATGCATACGCGTGCACAAATACGCGTGCACAGATGCATGCGCATATGCACACACACACGCACGCTATTTGTTCGTTAGCCCCAGGAACCACGCAGCCCCCCCTGCCCGATTCCACGTGTGCGAGATAAAAAGGCAAAGCAATGCCCGTTCCTGCTTAATACTCTCGCAAAAAGATAATGGGAACAAGATTTCCTTCGGCAAAACGTGGCGCCCTCCTTCCCCAAACCCGGCCCCCTCCCCGCGCTGGTAAATTGAGGTTGGGTGAGAGTTTTTCCAGGCATACTGTGAAATTCATTAACGTGTCAGCCCAGATTTAACTGCTTAGGCCTGGCTTGGCGGTCGTGTGAAGTTGCCTCCCCCCCCAGCCTGCAGCGCTGGTGGGAGCTTCAGCTAGCACAGATCAAACGCTCCCTCGCCCGCCTCGTCACTCCAACCTCGGAGACGCTGGGGGAAGAAAGACTGAGTGAACCCCAGCCCTAAAAAAAGAGCCTTTTCGGAGGCTTAAATGAGTTGAGCGAAAGGTTGGTGCTGGGCTCAGCGCTGCTGGCACCACGCACTCAACCTCAGCTCCCCCGGAGCTCCCCTGCATTATGAGATTAGTGTAAAAATCACATGGCAGGCATCAAAATAACACTCCAGCGTGGCGGTAGGTGCCTTCGGGGATTGTGCATTTTGAGCACATTTTTTTTTCCCCTGTGCTGGTGAAAAATCGGAACTTCTGAGGCAAATTCTGACACGGGGCTAGGCACTGAGATACAGCGCCTGGAGGGAGAGCAGCAAATACTGCCTGTGGTCCCAGGCAGCCTAGGATGCTGCTGTGCTGGGGGTGTCAATGCTCAGCCAGGTTTTGCCAGGGCCGGGAGAGACGTGGTAAAGTACCCCAACACCCAGTCTGCTCTTGCACTCACCAGATAATGGGACAGGGTTAAACTGGGGTGGTTTGTGCCGCTGAACTGAGGTAGCTGCATGTAACTGTGGCAAGGGAGCAAGTTTGGGGGGGGGTGGGGTAAAGGGGCCTCATTATTCCCTTGCAGCCCTGTAAAGGCCAGTTGGGTCACCCCAAAAGGCAGCTTTTCTGTCCTGCTGGGAATACCTGGGGCCACCTCCACGAGCCCCCAGCATCCTCTGGAGAAGGAAAGGGGACAGCAGCCCAGAGGGGAGGCAATGGGCAGCGGAGGAGAAAGGTCAGGTAAATGATTTGCCGCCCACAGCGCAGGTCCCTCTCTGCTTCCAGTTTAATTGGTGAGAGAGTAACTGGCCAGGGCCTTTTCATGGCACCACCAACCCTGCCACCGGCTGGGGGTCCTCCTGGCTGGCACGTCCCCATCCGCCCTGGGGCCACCTTTCCCTGGGAACAAGCTGCAGATCCTCCCAGGAGCTGACTTTTGGGGAGAACCCTCCTCTTGCTGCCCGATAGCATTCCCCCCCCCCCCCCCCCCCGCCCGCAGGCAGCGATGCTGCCCACTCCGACTGTTTGTCAGCAAACTGTCGCCAGCTTCGCAGGAGCCAAGCCTGGCGCAATCTCGGCCAGCCAACACGGGGACCCCGCTGGGCTTGGCCACACTGGGATGGGTGGCTGTCCCCTGCTCGGGGACAGGGTCACACCAGCACTCATGACTGTCCCCTCACGCCCCCGGCTCAGCCACCCATTGCTAATCGGGGCAGACAGGTCCCCCCTCTCCCCCAGCTAAATGCTTGCACTGTTCCTCTGTGCTGACTCGGTTGCAAGCTCTGTCTGTCTCCCGTTAATCACTAATTAAAGGCTTGAATGTTTCCTGCTGTTTGGGGTATTAATAAGAATTTAATTGCACAGTTTGGGGCTAATTACGTGGTAGCTAGCTTCCGCCCTTGTACAGTATGCCCAATTAAACAATCATATGATCAATTAAACAATCACAAGATCTAATAATTTGCAATAATAGACTAATTAAACATCGACACCTTGCAATGGAGCAACCTTCTGTCCCCCCTTTTGATGGTGTTTGAACCCCTGTCCAGGCCCTGGCCACCCCACAACCTCTTCTGCTCCAGGCTGCTGCGGATGGAAGAGCCCGGGGCGATGGCTCGAGGGGGTTTGGGGCAGGGACCCCGGCACACGAGCGGCAGGTGAGGGAGCCCACGGGGCAGGAGGTGGGCTTGCTGCCCCTGCGAGCTCCCTGGGAATAATTAGTGAAGGCAGCCGGCTCAGCGAAACCCTAGACCGGCCGCTGCTGCCAACCCACAGCGGATCTGAGCTACGCCCCTGCTTTGGCTGGAGGAGAGCCCGGCCGGGATGAGGCTGCACCTCCGCCCGCGGATGGGAACTGAGAGCAGAAAAGCCCCTTCCCTCCCACCCGCACCGCGCCCCCGTCATGGGGAAGGTGTTCGGAGAGAGGGGCCGGGGCTTGTGCCTCTTCCGCCAGGAAGCAGGAGGAGAAGCCGAAGTGGAGAGCCCTCCCCGAGGGGCTTCGAGCTGAGAACAGGGCTGCGGGGGAGAAAGCTGAGCCACTCCAGCCCCATCCCGGGAGAAGCAGGGCTCCGGATGGTCAGGCAATTGTTAAGCCTCTCCGCCGCAGAGACTGCCCCTCCCCTGCACCCCAGATTTGCAGGGATGCTGCGCCCCATGGGGAGCAGGTGCCTGAGCAGGGGTGGCAGGAGGATGCTGCTTGCTTGCCAACCTTTGAAAGCAATCACCTACCCCAAACCACTGTCCCCTGCTCTCCGTGGGGAAGGATCATGGCCAGCACAGCTGGGAACCCACCAGTTTCCAGTGGATCTGCCGGGTAGAGGGCGAGGAGCACCCCGCTGGGGGTGCGCAGCAGGGGAAGGGGCTGCAGATGCGACTGCCAACAGGTCACCGGCAGTACGGATCCTGCTCCATTGGATCAAACAGTCCAGGCCAGCTCACTGGGGAATTTCTGAGATAATTTTTGCATAAGAAGCACTGAGATAGAGAAAGAAAGCAAATATGTACAAGAAGGGGCAGAGGACATGGGGGAAGCACAGGGGATTTTCTAAATCCCATTGCCCCTCTAGGGATTGGTATTTTCAGGCATTGGCATCCCAGATCGGTCGCCACAGCACCCCAGCCCGAAACAGGGGGAGCAGCAGCCAGCAAAGTCTTCCCAGGAGAGTGCAAGCCCTTCCCTGCCGAGCTCCCTGGATCAAAGCAAGCCCTGCGCATTATCCCGGTGCTCCTGAGACCGCTCCCGCCGTGGTGGCCACAAAGGGAACAAGAGCTCCCGCATTACCAGCGAGTGCATCAATTACTTCCAGTGGCTGCCCTGTGCTAATCCGCTTCCCTCCCCTTTCCCTAGGCTGGGTGTTTCGGGGACGGCCTGCCGAGGAGGGCAACCAGGCTGCCCCAAGCATCTCCGCGAGTGCAGGCAGGGACCGGCAGCAGCGGTGGGAAGGAGGCGGCGTGAGTCTGCAAGAATAAAGCTGATGCATTACATGGTGGGTCTTGGGATTTTGGAAATCCTGCTCCTGCTGGCTGCTCTGCCAGGATTATCCTTCACTGAGCCTGACCTGGGTGGACGCATAGATGGGGACACATCTCTCTCTTTCCTGTTCTTCTCTTTCCCCTGTTTTGGGCAGGACACACCAGAGGGTACACAGAGCATCCCAGTATTGGCAGGGCAAGCTCCCCTCAGGACATGCAACCCTTTTGGGGTGTGAGGAGAGCCCCCTGTGCCTGTGGACCTCTGGCACTGCTCTCTACACACCAGGCATGGGGCCATGCACCCTGCGGCACGGAGCTGGCACCGTGACCTCTTGCCAAGCCAGCAGCGTGGCAAACCCACCGCTGCTGTCCCGGCTGCAACATCCCCAAATCTGCCTGCTCGCCAAAGTCACGCCGACCCCTGTAACACCACAGCACAGCGATGTCCCTGCAAGCACCACCCTACAGCAGCGATGGCGGGGTCATGCTCCGTGCCAATGCTCGGACCTCAGGTGTCACTGGGCTGTTTCACCTCTGCATTTCCCCACACCAGCCAGAGGCAGAAATCCTTGTGAAATAAGAAAAGTTGTCCTCACCTCCAGCTGCGTGGGTGGATGTCCCGGCACCCTGACATGGTGCAGGACATCCATTTGTTCCCATGCCAGAGCAGGCAGAGACTCCCGTGCACTGGAGGGGAACAAACCCCCATGTAGGGTGCTTCGGAGCACAGAGCCAAGAGGTGACATCCCAACATGATCTGAAGCTGTACAAGCCCCATGGCTCCATCCAGAACCACTTTTGGGGTGCTGCAGCCCCTCAAACCTCCCCTCAGGTTGGCACTGGGTTGCCAGGCTCCCGCATCCATCCACCCTCCTCCTCCTCACTCCTCCCCAGCCCTGTGTGACCATTCACCACCTCGAGCCAGCATCACTGGTGCCCAGCCACAGGACAGAGTCCGAAACCCTGCAGCCCTCAGTCTGAGCAAAGGGAACTTCCCAGGCGGCCTCTCCTTTTAATTGGTGCTAATTGCTGCGTCTGTTCGTGCTGGCTGGGGAGATGTCATTGTTGAAAGGCACAGAGGGGAAGGCTCGGCGAGCTAATCCAGCTTTCAGCCGCTAAGCCCTTCGGAGGCGGGTGATGGAGAAGCTCTTTCAGGTCCCTTCAGACAAGGCACAAAGCCTGAGAGGGGAAAGGGAGAAAGAAGGGGAGCAAATGAACAGGAAAAACTACTTTCACACGCAGCTCGGGGAATGGTCTTTGTGCACGGGGCTTGTCAGGGGGGAGCTTGAAGGGACCGCGCTGCGCCCCCACCTCCTCTTCTCTCCCTCGTTTATCTTTTGAGCCCCATCTGCCAAAAGGGTGAAGCAGCTGGGACCAGGGATGCTCAGGAGCACTGCCCTGTGGAGTGGGACCCTCACCCTGCAATGGACAAGATGGACAGACGGACAGGAGATCTGCAGATGCTCCCTCAAAACGAGCCTCCTCCAGTTTAACCCCTTTTGTGCCAGCAGAGCCACCTCCGCTACCATCACGCTGCTTTACTGGAGGATTCAGAGGAGAAGCAGACATGGCGTGGGGTGCCACGAGGGAGGCAGCCAATAGCTCAGGGTCCTCCTTTTGTCCCAGGGGGTTTCCACGGGTTCACCCACCAGCCGGAGCCCTCCCGAGGCAGCAGCCATGGGCAGGGTGCAGAGTTGAGTTTTGTTTTTTTTTTTCCTGAGCTTTGCTCCAAAACTCATCTTCCCGAGAGAGGTGGAAATACGCAGGGGCCGACGCATTCCCAGAGGGTGTGAGGTGGCTTAAAGCATCAGCTCTGACACTTTGCTTTGAATCCTCTGCCTTTTTAGCCATTCTTAGAAGAAATCCACTGTAACAGATACATATTTAAGCCAACAGCTGGGATCTCAACAAGGCATCGATCACAAACACTAACCAGTCCCTCTGACCTCTGGCACATCCACTGAGCCTTTCAGGGGCTGATTAATGGTACGGCTTTCCCTTGTCGTCATCCTCCTGCCACCCCCTGGGATCCAGGCTCTGGTCCAGGAGGAGTGAGAGGCTGTTCCTCCCTCCCCCAGACCCTCACAGGGCTCTGGCATCCCCCAGCACCATCCCAAATCAGGACAAAAGTCAAAAACCTCCACCAAAATGCCACACAGATTCATGAGCAGGACAGCCAAGCAATGCCACTTCGATGTTTTGGAAATGTTTCATTTCGATGGCAGTATTTTTAGCTCATGGAAACCTTTGCAAGGTCAGACAAGCTAAAATTGCCACGCAAAGCACCACGCCAGAACGAACGTGAATGATAAAATGTTGAAGCGGCATATCTCAAGTATTTCCTTAATCTCTGCCAGGTTTTGCTGCCTGCTCCCTGCCCCAAAGCACATCTCGCAGGGGACCCTCATGATTCCCCAGCTGCCCCTGGGGAAACACTCCCAGCTGGCCATCCCACATCCCACACTGAAGCTTGCTGACCACCTGGAAGACACGGGTGATTTTTCAGAGGGTTTTGGTGCTTTGGCTCATGGCCAAACCACCGCACCTCTGGGGGGGGGGGGGGGGGCACCTGCAGCAGAGACAGGGCAGACGCTCAAGCCTTTCCCGGCCCTCCAGCGAAGGGGATGCTCCCCAGCATCTCTGCGCCAGCACGCTCCGTCGCTTCAGCTCAGCACCCGTCACTTCCTCCCCCCAAGTGACCCACTTCAGGGTTTCAGCCCAGGAAAAATTAATTATTTAAAACACCACTTACCCAGACACTCATTGGCCTCACGGGCGCTGGCCCGCTGCCAGGGCCGGTCGTAGTGGAAGGGCTTGCAGCGGTCGCACTCGGGACCCTCCGTGTTGTGCTTGCAGTCGCACACCAGCTTCTGCTCCTTGTCCTTCACGCAGCGCGCCGCGTGCCCGTTGCACTTGCAGCGCCCGCCGACCTGCAGCTCCCCCACCGCGTAGTAATAGGGGGTTGAGCCAGTGGCCCCCTCCTCCTCCCCGCCGTCCCGGCCGCCCAGGTCGCGGAAGAGATGCGGGCGGCTGAAGACCACACGGATGTCGGTGGCCGTCACCCAGTCCTGGAGCACGGGGCTGCTGTCAAAGTCCTGGGCGGAGGGTCGTCCGTCGAGGGTGCTGAAGGCAATGAGCCCACCAGTGAGGGGGTAGAGGTCGGTGAGGCCATCGGTGCAGAGGGCCTCCTGCTCGTTCTGCTTGGTGACGGTGACTTTGCTGGGCTTGCCGTAGATCTTGCGGCACTGGGAGGAGTAGTACTGGTACGGCACCCAGGTCTTGCCGTAGTCCATGGACTTGAGGATGGCAGTGGACTCGGGCCGGGGCGAGCAGAACTGGAGGCTAACATAGACCACCTCAAACTTCTTGCCGAGGGAGAGGGTGAGGGTGACGTTCTGGGGCGAGTGGTGGAGGGTCTCTGAGCGCCAGCAAGTCATGTTGGAGGCGGTGTTGAGGTCAGTCAGGTAGGCGGGCGGGTGGGCTCGGCGGGGGTCCGAGGCATTGCAGTGCCGCGTCGGGGGCTTCCCGCACGTACTGGAGGCTTGAACCTCCTTCCCGAAGGCGGCGTTGACGAATTCGGGGATGCAGCGGCGAGGAGCGCCGCTCTCATCGTAGCAAGGGTCGGGGGGGGTCTGCTGGGCCACGAAGGGGTTCACCGTCTGGGAGGGGCCCAGCATGGCGGTGGTGAGGAGCAGGCGCAGGAGCTGCAGGACCTCCATCCTCCTGCGGCGAGGGAAGCAGCTCCTCCCTGGCGTGAGAGCAAAGAGAGTGAATGGTGCCAGCAGCCCCACCGGGAGTAGCACTGCCGCAGCACTGCCCGTGCAGGGAGGCTGGTAAGTGATGGGGAACACCCCCACGGCTGGGCCTCAACCTGCGCCCACCTCTCCACCCCGTGTTTACTATGCAGCATCCTGGGAGCAGGGCAGAGAGGCGATTACTTTGCACTGCCTTATCCGCAACAATCCCTTGCCACTCATCAGCAGGAGCGAAATACCGCAGGATATGGCAAAAGGAGTTGAGCTTTGGAAGGAGAAGGATGAAATCAGGGTCCAGCCCTTCCCTGGCCTCTTACAAACTGTCTCTGGGGAGATAGGAACGTTCATGCCTGCCAGCAGCTCTGGCTGTCACGCAGAGTTTGGAGACCCCTGTCACTGCCTGGCTGCCGCAGATTGGTGGCAGGGAAGAGCTGGGGAGACCTTTTAGCTGTGACAGTATATATAACCAACCCCAAGTTATCCAACCACAGCCCAAAACAGCTCCCGCCAGTGCAGGAGAAAGAAGCAACTGCAAAAACACAGCATGGGGACATTTTGCAACAGGCAGGAGCTCTCCAGGATGAAGCCCTGGGTGTCTCGAGTCCCGCACCACTCTCCCTGCCATGTCACAGTCTCAGCAGCATCCTGCTGGCCGTGGGCACGGTGGCTTCTCTGAGCTAGGGGCTGGATCCTCTCCAAATCCCACCACCACACTACCCGAGTAATCCCACTGGCAAAAGGAGGTTATTCTGGCCTCACCCCCAAGAAACCTCCAGGTCTGGGTCTGACCTGTCTGTCAGCGGAGGGGAAGGCAAGGACCAAATGCAGGGCTTGGCTGGGCTCCTTTCCTGGCAGCCACGGCACAGGGCCAGGGCGTGCTGGGTGGCTCCCAGGGAACCCGGCCCCTCTCCCGCATTGCTGGCTTGGAGGGTGGAAGAGGGACCGGAGGTCCTGGCCACTCCCGGGGGCTCTGGCTGCAGCAGGATGATCCCGCAAGATGCCGGTCGGCTGTGCCCCATCCTTAGCATCGCGAGAGCGGCCACGGAGAACAGCCCCGAGCGCCACAGCTGAGCGGGTGGCATCAGCCCTGCCATCCCACGTGCTTGGCTGGCAGTCACCAGCCACCAAGTCAGGTTCTCTGGCCTCTGCCAGCCCCTGCCACAGCCAGGGCAGGCAGAGGGGATGCCCCCTCCACCATCGCCTCTCCCACTAGTAAAACCTTACAGGATGACTTGGGTTTTGTGCTTCACTCTCAGGAACAAACTCCCGTGCGGGCATCATGACCCAGCATAGCGGATGCTCTGCTCCCCATCTACAGCCCCCAGCACCGGTCCTGCCTGTCCAGCTGCCCACTCTGCCCAAAGCAGACTGGCAGGGGACAACAGCCCACTTCAGATGATCCAGGATTTTTTCCAACCTTTTGCCAAAAAAAAAAAAAAAAAAAAAAAAAAAAGGAAAACTGTGGGAGAAATCTGCCTCACTCCAGGCTGCCAAACCACTAATGGGGGGAAGCTCCTCCCTTCCCAGCCACGCTCAAGTGGGCAGCCAGCAACAGAGCCCACCGAGGCGGGAGCAGGGACAGGGGTCTCGGCCCATCCCTGAACATCTCCTCCAGGACAAATCCTGGCCCTGCCACCTCCATGCTGTTTCCTCACTGCTTAATCCTCTGCTGATGGAAAAGTAGATGCTCACTGCTGAAAAATGAGTGGCTCCCTTGGTGGTCTCTACATAACTCCAGCAGCTCATCCTCACTACCCGGCAGTGCTGCAGAGCCTTTCAGGGGCACGTCAGCCTGTGGCTTGGTGGCTGGGCAGAAGGCAGGCAGCAAGATAAGGGAAGCTGTCCCTGGAGCACTGAGAACCCTCTGCTCTAGGAGCGTGGCATGCAGGCAAGGGCTGCGGGTGTGGAGAGGGGAGCAGCAGGGACGTAGCAGTCACCACAGGCGGGGAAGCACCATGCCACAAGCTCCAGGTGGTGAAGAGCATCCCCCGCTGCAGGCAGCCCCCAGGGCTCCATGGGGAGCCCCCGGCCCCACTGCAGGCAGCTGCCTCCTGGACGAAGCTGTGGCTGCTGCAAGCTCCCCAGCATCTGCCTGTCTGGGAATTGTTGAACAAAGACAGCACCTGGTTAACCCCCCCCCTCCAAAGAAATGCTGCTGGGACCATCCCCAGCACCTGCCTGGTGCTGAGCTGTGAGCCAAAGCCCCTACCAGCCCACGGGCCCCTGCTCCTGTACTCACACCCAGCACAGCGGGCTGCAAAATGCTGATGGGTCACCCTGCAATGCCCGGTGAGACCTGGCCACGCACATACCTGCGGAGGCCAGCACAGCCCCTTCAGCCCTGCGATGCTGCCAGCTCTCCGTCATCCCCATCTCACCGCACACCCCACAGAGGGGGGCCCAGCTGGGTGCAGCCCCCCATTCCACAAGTCCTGGGGCAGCACGTAGCATGGGGACAACCCCATGGGAAGACCTCTGCACTGGGAGGAGAGAGGAGAAGCCCCCCGGGGATGCCCCAGCAGCTGCATCTATCCACTCTGGGGGGACCCAGGGCGTATCAAACAAGACACCCACTAAACCCTGCCAAGGAGGAGTATCCTCCAGCCACCACCTCCTCTCTTCTACATGGCAGCAAGCGGACAGGAGTAGGGCCACACTCAAGCGTGCCACCTGCAACGGCCTTTTTATTCCCCATTTGGCCAGACACAAAGGTATGGGGAAACCCCTGCCCGGGGAAGGGAGACAGCACCAGCACCCGCACCCACTGGTGGCAAGGGTGCCCAAAGGCAAAGGTGATATGAGCAGGCCTGGGGCAGCAAGTCTAGAACCTGGGCTGGAGTTACTGCTGCTTTTGTGGCCCGTGGTGGGCATAAGCATCTCCTGCCCACCCTCTCTGCCCCAATGGGAAACTCGTTCTGCCAGCCATTCCAAGGTACAAGCCCCAGAGATTCGGTGCCCAACTTCTGGGGGCTCTGTTCTGGCCAGGGAGCAGCTGCCGGGGAGCCAACTCTCGCCCAGCGGTGCATCGGCGCTGCAGAGGCAGGGCATGAATGGAAATCATTATCATCTGCAAGACCACACACAGGCACGCACGCTCCGCGCTTGGCTCACCCCATTATCCCGCTGAAAGAGAGCCGGGGCTGGTGGTCTCCGCGGGCCTCACCTCCGTATCGGAGAGGAGGGCAAGCTGCAATCTGCTCCCTTTTATGCATATTCAGCGTGACCCCAGGACTGCCGGCAAGCTGCCAGAGAGGCCTGGGAGTGGGTATTTCTCTCCCCGGCCCCAGCTTCCCCCCCCTTTCCGCTTCCCATATTTGCTGCCCCCGGTTCAGATCAAATGGAGACGCTGCTGACTAAGCAGGGAGAAGGGGGACAAGCTCCTCAGTGCCGAATCCAGCCCAGCACCCTCCTGGATCTGGCACGAGGAGGGGAATAAGCGCTGGGGTGCATCTCCCAGGGCCAGCATCCCAAAGGTGTCCCCAGCGACGCTCTCAGGTGGCCACCGGCAGCACCCACGAGGCTGGGGAGACACAGCAGCAGGGCTCACCCTTCCCAAAGAAGCAGCCGCCCTCCCGGCTCCTCCCCAGAAGTGGCTGCATTTTTGAGGTGGGCGATTTCCTCACTCCTCCGCTCAGGGAATGCTAACAGCCATGCGGTTTGGAAGGAAGTCACGCCGCCGTAGCGCTTCAGAAGTGCTTTAAAAAAAAAAAATCAGCTACCGCATCCAACGCCTCCACACCCCTTCTCCCTACAGCAATATTGCTTCCCAAGGCGAACGGCAGTGTTTCCCCGCCTTGTGGGAGGCTCATCGGGGCGATGCTCCAGCCCGCTGTGGGTTCCCCTTCCCATCGCCTTCCCGGGAGGCAGTGCTGCTGAGAGCGACGCCGGGCACAGATGCATGCCCAGAGCTCCAGGTCTCCCGCTGCCCAGCCACTGGGTGGGTGCTTGGTTCCCCAAAATTGAACTCACAAGGCAGGTGCAGCAGGTGAGCTGGGGCAAAGACGGCAAACTTCTCCCCAAATACGGATGCTGGTGACTGCAGCAGGCCCAGGGTCACCACCCAGCAGCCCAGGGGCAGCGGCAGCTTTGCAGAGGTAATTACAGGATTAAGTGGAACAACACGGGGTGGGGAGGGAAGGGGGGTTATTAGCCAGATTTGATCCCAGGACCTTTGTTGCACAGGAGCAGCCTTCTCTAATTAAAGCGAAGGGGGAAAGCCTGAGCAGCCCAAGCAGCGCTCCGCTGCCTGCTGCAGCCCTGTCACTGAAAAACAGGAGCTTAGAGGGCAGGCGGTGGCTAAAGCCGAGCAGCCAGCACTGCCCGGGGGAGGGGAAGGGGAAACCCTCGAGGGATGACAGGGAAATGGTGCTTCCCTCCAGCCAGGGACCTGTGCTGCTCCCCCAGGGCCTTGCTGATGCCGCTGATGGGGTGTGGGGGGCTGGGTTTCTCCTCCAGGCCAGGCCAGCCCAGCGCGTGGGGTGTTCGCATCACCCGAGGAAAGCATGTGGCCTTCCTGGGAACTAGATGAGACGACGATGCCTGGTCCCCACAAGGTGCTGCATCACAGGGATAAGGTCCTGGGTGCCAGCACGCATCAGGGACAGAGCCACCCGCTTGCATGGTGCGCCAAAAGGCTCCTCATGGCACGGCACAGCCACGGAGCAGCGGGCAGAGAAGCCCCAGGCAAGGACCAAAGGACTCAAGTACTTGAGGGGATCCAGCAACTAGATCCAAAGCACTCGGATAGAGCCGATCCATGAGGACTGCTCAGCCCTGAGCTGCGCCATCCCCAGTAAAGCCCACCAGCAGTTCAGGTGTCCTCTGAGCGGGAAGGCACTGGAGGGACAGGAGAGGACCCAAAGCAGAAGAGAAATTAGGTGCTCAGAAAAGCTGTAACCAGGCACAAACAACCAGAGAGTGTTCCTTGACCAGGATGTATCTGCTACCAGACCTTGCACGTTCCCGCCTCGTTACAGGCCTCTTCTGATGAGTGCATCCCTGCTCCCTCGCTACATGTGCCGCAGGAGTGACCCGCTGCAGATCTGCCCCAGCCTCATGAACAGGACCCATCTCGGGGAGCTGTTGGGGTCCCTGGGCCCCCACCGCCTCGCTTCCCTCCATGGGCACCAGCCCCTCACCCACTGTGCTGATGCCAGCTGGGGAATGCCTCGTCCCCCCCACCCAACAAGCAGAATGCATCAGGACCAAACTGTGCTCTGGCCACGGATAAATCATTCCATGTGTCGCTGGGACAAAAAAACACAACTGAGAAGTATTTAAAATGAAAGGAAAAACTCCATGCAGCCAAGGCGCTGGGACCAGGCTCAGCTTTCCGGCGGGAGGGAGCGCACACGGCGGGGAGAGGCCAGAGGGATGCGGCACGGTGGGCAGTGCTAATCGCCTTCCCAGCTGCTAATGGAGCAACCAGTGCCCACTTGGGACGCAGCTAATGGCACCGAGGAGATGCCTCCCTTTTCTTTACAAGCTCCCTCTTCTCCTCGGGTATTTAAATATCCGAAGCTTCCAAGCACGCACGGACCCACATCTGCAGAGCCGGCCGCTCTGCGCAGCCCCTCGGGCTTTCAGCCCCCACTCCCCAAAGTACGCACAGCTCACGTGGGCAATTACAAGGCAGTGTCTTCCTGCAGCAGGCACTCCTGGCGATATATATTGCAATGCACTCTGGCAGGCCGGAGCCAGAATTACACAAGCCATACGATACCCCAGCAGTGCCAGGAGACACATACAAATTACACTGCATGCAGGAAAGGATGGGCCAGATTCTGACCTCAGCCCCTTTGGCATCAGCCAGAAGTAACTCCATTCAGATTGGGCCAAACCAAGACGTAAGCGACTCCATTCAAATTTACACTAGCATACCTGTGGTCAGAATCTGGCCTGGCTTGAATTAGTTGCAGCCTGACATTACAAAAGGCAGAAACGGAGCCCAGATTTCCTAGGTTATTGAAAACAACCAGAAAAAAAAAAAAAAAAAAAAAAAAAAAAAAAAAAAAAGAAAGAAAGAAAAATCCAAAATCCACCACGAAGCAAACAGTCCCCGGGCTACTCAGCCATGTGCACAGAGCTGTCAAAGGCTGGATGCACAGATGCATCCATGCTCACCCGTTTCACCAACTCGTACACCACGCTGACCATGGGAAGGAGGGACCAACATTCAGCATGCTGTCCTGCTGGGTCCCCCACGCTCACCCTGCTCACCAGAGGCCCTCAGCAGAGGTGGTCCCGCTCCCGGGAGGGGAGATTTAAGCATGGACTCACCCACACACTGCAGAGCTGAATCCATTTTGCTGGAACACTGTTGTATCCCCCAGCCAGGGCAAGCTGGATATCTCCTCCTTGTGCTCCCAACCCAACAGCAGCTCGAGGCACCTGGAACCCCTGGCCTTGCAGGAGCAGAAAGTACGGCTGCCTTGATGCTACACTATTTACTAACCTCTCCTACTGCTCAACCTGTTGCTCTACTCAACTCTAATCGCACCCCAGCTCCCTGAACCCCTTTGTATGCTCCTGCCACATCGCTTGGCTCCATTGTGTGGTCCCGGGAGCATCCCTCAGGGTGCAGAGGGTTTTTCCTCCCGCTGCTTCCAGCGGATGCACAGGACTCGCACAGTCCCAGCCCAGAAGCCCTCATTGCTTCAACCCCTTTCCACTCCATACGGGAATAAAGTGATCTGGTTTCCATAACGTCCCTTGTTGCCTTTTCACAACATGCTGGGCACAGATGTTGAAAATAGTCTGGATGAATATTTAAAATGGTATTCAGAGATGACAACATTTGGCCAGCTTTGAAAGATCTCTCACATCGGGTAGAGGATGGCTCACGACAACAGGGCCGGAAGCATGCTGCACTTTGACATCTCTTCCTCCCCCCCCCTTCCTCCCCCTTCTCTGGCTATTGGTACAATATTTCATGCCCCTGGTGTCACACAGCCTGTTATTGCTTGAGTGCCAGCCAAGTTTGCAGCATTTGGAAGAGGCTGTCACGTACGTTTTTAAACATCATGGGGCAAAGCGGAATATGGAAAATCTGTCGCGTTTCCATACCAAGCACAAGTGTCCTGTGCAGGCTCAGGGAGGGGCTTGTGGGGGCACAAAATAATTGCTTCCTTATGGAGCAGGGCCTGACTAACAGGGTGGGGGGAACAGGAGGCAGAGGTGCCGCGGACACCCTTGGCACGGCAGGCTGCTCCCCTGCTGAAGGAAGATGAAGCCATCTCGGCCCATGCCCCAGGGTCTGCGCCGATGCTCACCTTCTTCGGGGCTGCGAAACCCTCCTCAGACCCAGAGCTCTGCCAGCTGCCACCTGAGGTGGGAGCTCTGCTCCAGCTGGCCCAGGCTGAAGGCATCATGTTCTGGTGCCCAGGGAGCAGCAGCAAAGCTGCTCAGCCTAGACTCCCAGCAGCCTGCAGTTCCGATGGGCTCATCGCTTCAGGCCACAGTACGCTCAGCTGCATCCCTAGGCCTGACTTCTTTCTTCCCCAGGCTGCAGACTCACCTCGGCTCCTTCCCAACCTGGCATTACACCTGCCCTCTTCCCTGCAGGGACCCAACTCACCTTCCTCCTTCCACGCGCCAGCAGAGGAGGAAGGGATGTTGGGACCCCCGCAAGCCACCCTGCGCTTGGACTGCTGGACCTCCTGTCCCCACACCAGCTCACTCCAACCAGGTGGTCAGAAAAGCACAGCAGCTCCCTCTGTTTTATAAATGGGATATTGCAGAAAAAAAAGGGGAAAATAAGAAAGAAAAAGTTGCCCTCCATCCATCCAAATGCCTTGGAAGGTGTTTTCAGAGCATAGCTCAAGCCATATATCCCTGCTGCACTGGTTACAGGGAGCTCCAGCCTCTCCTGGTTTTGAGAGCAGGCAGCAACAAACTCGACCAGGGAAGAAGTATCTGCGTCATTTCCAGCCGTCCAGTGTCGCACATCCAGGTCTACGCTCAGTACCATCTCAGCCCAACTACATGTCCAACACAAATGGCACGGACGGAGGTGGGGGATGCTCAGCCCGGCTCATGTTTCATACGTTCACGGGGCGAACTCACCCAAGAGAGGGGAAACCACGCACAAGCAGTGCCCAGCTGAGCAGCGAGCCAGCAGGACCACCGCGCTGCCGGAGGAGCTCCCGCTCCTGCCCATGGGGCCTTCCTCACCCACCCTGCTCAGCGAGAGCCAAACGAGGCAACAGACTGCCGAGCGCCACGTCCCCCCAGTTATTCCTTATCCCAGGAAAGGTATTTCCATCCACCCACTCTCCGGTGGGTCGGGGAAGCTGTGGGAGGGACGGTGTTTTGAAGAAAACAAGGGTTCAGCAGCTCTGAGACAGGAAAGCTAAAGCAAACCCACCAAAGGCAGCTCAGCTTCCCTTCTCCCTGCGCCACCACCCTCTCGCACGCACCCTGGCCAGAACTGCCGGCCCTCACCCCAACTGCGGTTTGGGGCAGGGTGCTGGGGGGTGCTGGGGGGGTCTCACCCAGCCTGGCCCCAGGACTGCGACGCAGCCGAGTCCATCGCGCGGGAGCTGTTCCCAGGGGGAGCCCACCCCCCGCCCCGCCCCGCCGAGGGGTCTCTCCGAGGCAGCTGTGCTGGGAAGGGACCAGCGACGGCCCCAAGCCTGGATTGGTGGCAAGGGCGAAGCCACCCTGCCAAGGTGCCCAGCGGCTTTGTGCTGATGGAGACCTACCCGAGCGGATAAAGGCCACCCCCCCCACACCCCCCACACCCCCCCCCCAGGAGCTGCGGGGAGCACGTGTGTGCCCGGTGAGCCGGCACCGCGGGCAGCCGCCCGGCCGGGGAGGCTCCGCTCCCCCCGGGGCTTCAGACAGCGCCGAGCACCCCCCCGGCGTGTGCGTATGTGTGTCCCCCCCCTCGCCGCCGGCTCTGCCGGGGCGGTGGCAGCGAGCCGGGCCGGGACAAAGCACGGAGTCAGCGGCGGCTGGAGCTGCCCGGGGCCGGGAGCGGGGCTCGGCCGTGCCCGGCTGCGGGCGGGCGGCACTCCCGGCCCCGCCGCGGGGAGGTCCCGCTTTCGGCGGTGAAAGGATGGAAAGGGAAATAAAGGGAGGGTGGGGGGTGGGGGGGGTGGGGGGAGAGGGAGGAATAAAAGGCAACGACGGAGGGAGCGGCGGGGAGGAGAGCGGGGAGCTGCTCGGCCGGGGCCGCCAGCGCCGAAGTTGGAGGAGCAGCTTACCGCGGGCGGGCAGGTAGCGGGGTCGGTCCGGGCAGCAGGTCCGGGGTCGAGGCGGCAAGAGGAGCCGGAGGCCGCCGCAGCAGCAGGGCGGGCGGCGGGGCCTGGGGGCAGCTCCCCCTTCCCTTGGCTGATCGCAACACAAAAAGGAAGAAAAAAAAAAAAAAAAAAAAAAAAAAAAAAAGGGGCAAAAAAGGAGAGGAAAAAAAAAAAGGCAGTAATAACAAATTGCCAGGGAACGGGGGGGGCGGAAAGAGAAAGTAAAATAGGGCGAAATAGTGCGAAGAGGGAGTGCTGCTCCCGGCGGTGCGGGCGGGTCCCCAGCGCCGTGCCCGCAGCCGGCCGTGCTCCCGCCCGCTCCGCCGCACCGCCCGCGGCTGCTCCGGCTGCGGGAGGGAGGGAAGGAGGGAGGGAGGCGGCAAGGAAAGGAAAAAAGGAGAGGAAAGGGAAACCCCCCCAAAAAATTTAAAAAAAAAAAAAAAAAAAAAAAAAAGCAAAGCAAGAAGTGGAGAAACTGAGCCCCGACCGCTGCCTGGAAGCGGAGTAAAAAGGCTCCAATAAATCCCGGGTTGAAAAGAAGGGAAAAGTCACCTCCCCGAGGAAATCAGAAGCAGATTTCGAGCCATTTAATCACATGCAGGGAGGTGTGTGTGCGTGTGTGCGCCGCCCGCCGCGGCGCTGCCAGCCCTGCCTCCGCCCTCCCGGGAGCGGAGCGGGGCAGGGGCCGGCGGCGGAGCGGGCCGGGAGGGGAGGCGGGGGCCGGCCCTCCCCGGCGGGGCACCGTCGTGGGGGTCCCGGTGGCCGCGGGGTCCCACCTGCCGCCCCCACCGCACCGCCCCCCCCCCCCCCCGCCCCTCCCGGGAACCGTCTTTGCCCGCAGCGGGTCCATCGCCCCCGGCGTGCTGGTGGCTCCGGAGCGGCAGCCCCGGCGAGTCCAGCACGCCGAGGGCTCAGCCGGTGCCGCAAGGAAGGCGGCCGATAATCCTCCCCTCGCTTCCCAAAGCAGGAGAAATGAGGGATTTACCAGGCGGGGAGCAGCCTCCTCTTACGGAGGAGGCTGGAGTCTCCGCTCCATCCCGTGATGCGGGGGCTCTTCACATGCTGCTGCACCAGGGCCGGTCTTGGCCTCTGATTTTGGGTCGAGGGGGAAAGAAACAGAGACATTTCCACTTCGAGAGGCTACCCAGCACAGATGGCTCGGGGCTTTCCCAGGACGGTCTGCACCCACCTCGATGCCATCCCCAGGCCACCTGCGAGCAAGTAGGGCAGGAAAAAGGTGAAACTAATTTAATCAGCATTTTTGTGAGGCGGTGGAGGAGAGCAGAAAACCTGGACCTGGATCCCCTTGCTCACTGGGGTTGTGTTCCCAGCACTACAGCCCCCACACATCTTCCAGCTTGGCTTGGGGAACATCCTTCCCAAAGATGTCCTTGTGATGGTTGTGAGGACTGAGAAGGGTACCAGAGGCGAGGTGATGGGCAAGGTGCCAGCACGGTGTTCACCCGTTACATTCAAGACCCCCACCCAGCAGCGTCCTGCTCCCAGAGGACCCCTGGTTACCCACATCCTGTTGCTTCAGGGCAGCAGGTTGCAGGAGAAACACTCTCCCCAGCCAGCTGGCAGATGCTTGCTGAAGGAGGAGACCCCAGCTGGCCAGGAGTCCCAGGGGAAATGTTGTTTGCTGCTCTCACGTTTTGTGCAACAAGGCTATTTCCCCCCCTTCTCCAGCAACAGGGATGTGGATAAACAAGGGCAAAGCCACCAGGTGACAGGGCAGAGGAGACACGGGCCATGGATGGCACTGTAAGTCTGATCCCATGTGTGTCCTGCAGCTCCAGTGCCTCTCTTGGGGATGCTAATGCATTTGAAGAACCAGGAGGCCAAGCCACGAAGCCCCAGCAGCTCAGGGGCAGATCCCAGAAGGGAAGCAAGTGCAGGGCCAGCATTTGCCTTGCACAGGCCCAGATGGGAGCGTGGGGCAGAGTGGGGCCGGTGATTGTCAGAAAAGTGCGGGAGTTTGTGCATGGGGCTGCGAACAGGCTGGGATGACTAAGGCAAGGGGACAAAAGGGGGTACAGCTCCAAGATTCTGAGGTGACGCAATGCAGCAGTTGTCCCAGGGATGGACCTGAAGGTGCTTTCCTCACCAGAAAGCACAAGGACCACCATGAACGCGAGCTGCGATGCTGATCCAGCCTGGCCTTGGCTGCTCCAGGGTGGTGCTGAGCTGGGGGGCTGTTACCACAACCTCGGTGCTGCTGTCTTCACACTCAGAGGATGGTGTCGGACCCAAACATGATGTTAGAGGTGCTGGCCCCCACACGGGAAGCCCTGGGACTGCTGCCCACAGGCCTCACCTCAGTGAAAGCCCAGCTGAAAAGGGCAGAAACTGTTTCCTGGATCCCCATTTCCACCGTTCCCTGCACGTTCCCTCTTTGTGGGATGGAGAGACCTAGAAAAAAATATGAATCTGGGTTTGGCAAACAGCCAGGGGGCAAGGACTTCATCAGGGATGGGTTGTTCGCTCTAGTAGGAGTCAGACTGCTGAGACCCTGCTGGGCATCCCTCGGCTCACCAACATTACCCTGAACGGGGTACCCATGCTCATTGCAGTCCTGGGCAGATTTGTGAGGGCTGGGAGGAGAGGGCAAATGCACTGTGTGGTTTCTGCCACCCTGGTGTCTGCAGGAAGCTCTGCCCTCTGCAAGCTCCTGTTCTGTGTGCACACCCGTTCCTGCTCCTCGTGCCATGTGAAGGCCCAGCACCTGGTGCCAGCCAGGCTTCTCATACATAAAGACGGATTGCTGGAAGGACACGGACATCCACAAACTGTTGGAGCAAAAGCTGTGGCTCTGGCAGTGAGTCAGCCTGGGACAGATACAGAATCACAGAATGGTTTGGGTTGAAGTGACCTTTAAAGTTCATCTGGTCCAACCCCGGTGCAGAGACATCTTTCATTAGACCAGGTTGCTCAAATCCCCATCCAACCTGGCCTTTCCAAAGATGGGGCATCCACAACTTCTCTAGGCAACTTGTTCCAGTGTCTCACCATCTCCATAGTAAAGAATTTCTTCCTTATGTCCAATCTGAACCTGCCCTCTGCCAGTTTAAAACTACTGCCCCTTGTCCCGTCACTACAAGCTTTGGTAAGCAGTCTCTCTCCATCTTTCTTATAACCCTGCTTTATATATTGGAAGGCTGCAATAACGTCTCCCCTGGAGTCTTCTCTCCTTCCAGGCTGAACAACCCCAACTCTCACACCCTTCCTGAACTTAGTATCTCACATCCTCTCCGTGACACACACTCCCAGCCGGGCCAGCCCTGCAGAGGACTTGCTTGGCCTTTGCTTTTGGGCTGTGAGCACCGCAGGCACGGCCGGGCCGATGCACGGCCTTCGCTTGCCCTCTGCTGGGCTGCAGCCTGGGCTCAGCAAAACCCGGCTGGCTGCAGGCCATGAGCCGGGCTGTAATTCAGTCCCCGGGCCTCCCGGGCAGACAACACGCGTGTTAGCATTACAGCTGGGGTCACATCCCTGCCCTCCTGCTCAGCTGCAGTCGTGGCAGGACGAGGGTGGCCCGATGCTGGGCACAGGAAAGCGCGGCGATGCAAGGGCTGGGCACCCCAGGGCCGTTCCGCTTGCCAGACCCGCAACGGGACGGCCACAGCCCCCCGCCCCACCAGAGGAAGGAGAACGTGCTGGCACCAGGCAGCACCAGCCCCCTCCCTGCCTCCACACCCCAGCGCGTAGGAAAGGATCCGAGAGGTGGAGGTTCATATTCCCACGCAGGTTTCTGCCCTCTTGCTGGGTAGGCAGGGGAGAGACCCTATTTACCACCTTCCCCGAGTCCCTCTTTAATCTCTTCACTGGAGAAGGAAGAGGTTTGCTGCCAGAAGGGAGGAGTCTTCCTTTGGCTGGTCCCAGCAGGCCCCTGCCTCAGTGCAGTTAGAGGATCCCCTTTTAGCCACCAGGTCACCTTCAGGGTGATTCCATAATTCTCATGTTTCCCTTCTTTCTGTGCCATCTACTCTCTGTAGGTATGTTCCATGCCTCGCTTGCCTTGCTGGGCTGCCAGTCTCCTGGCAGACAGATCTCCCTTCCCATGCTGTTTTAGAGTCTGGCCCCACACCTGGTTTCTTCTGGAGTGTGGATCACCCCAGCTGTCCCCAGGAACTGAAACGTGGTCTTCCCCGGGCATGCAGAGAGGTACAAACACCCTGCCTCATTGGGTGTACTTTGCCCAGGGCATCTTGCCGCTGCTCCATCACACCAGGGGCTTGGGACTCACCTGCAGCTCACCAGCCCTTGGGGGTCTGTCCTTTCCAGCCCTAAGACTCCTGCTCGCCCCCAGCCTTCCTGCAGGCCCAGTGCACCCACAATGCCTTCAGGTTCTTCCTCTCACTCTGCATGGCTGGAGAACAGAGATCTCCCAGGCTGCCTGCCCACCCTGGGGTCCAGGAACAGGCAGTGCCCGGAGTTTAAGCACCGTGAGGGTACAGGGACAGCCCAAATGGGCCTTTTATGGACACCAGAAGCACTGCTTTGTGCCATAGCTATTTTCTGTCACCCGGGAGGGTGGATAGAAGCAGCTCACAGTGAGGTTTTCAGGTCTGGGTACGCCTACGAGCTTGTATAAAATTAGCACAACATTGCCACGGGCAGAAACACAGACAAATATACACCTTTTGCCTCTGCCTGCTGTCTCCCAGGGGAAAGATGAGTATCGGGGACTTGAGTCTCATTTATACATGAGCCATTTCACCACTGACATAAATACCTGTTTCCATGCATAAGCAGACACTAGAGCCAGACCCCAGTGGGGATAGGGATTGCCGGTTGAAATGCAATCATTGCCGGTGTGCAATGAATATGGCTTGGGAAAAAGAAACAAGGCGTAACATCACTGCAACATCCAGCATCTAACATCCCTGCGGAGTGATGTTCTGCGGATTTTTCCCTCCTCAGCCATGCCCAGCCTGAGGATGCTGTGCATTAATATCGCATGGGTCGGGCCTGGAATGGGAAGGAGCTGACAGCCCCAGACCAAGCGCTGGGGCAGACCGAGGGCCAGCCTGCCCTGCAGCTTCCCAGGAAGATGGAGCTGAGGAGAGGCTGGAGGGATGCTGAACCCATGGCAGCCTGCGTCCAGGCTACGTGCCAGTGCCAGCTGTAGCACAGCCATCACCCTTCCCAGCCTCGGGCTGGGCAGATGCTGCGGGAGGAGGGTGCAGAGGCCAGGAAAGATGCGTAGCACCTCCCCAAACACCTTCTGTGTCCTCAGCAAGCTGCGCTCCGCAGACACCTCGGGCCCTGCTCTTCCAGCGTGTCTCCAGCTCTGTGTCATGCCTCTGTGGCTGCCCTTGCCCCATGATGAGGAAGCTGGTGTGTGCTCATGCTAACTGCCACGGTGAAGACATGCCCTGGGCAATGCTGAATGTGATGACCGAATCCTGCTTAACCATGGGCCCCCAGACCTAGAAGAGGCTGTTAGTGGGGGTCAGGAATTGATGTTGTGTCTCTTTCCCTCTCTCAGCAGCTTTCTGAGCTGCAAGCCCTGAACCTGACCCTTTCCAGCCACGCTATGGTTCATTTTTAACTACTCCCCTTCCCACATCACTGTGTGTGCAGACCGCTCAAGAATTTTGTCACCTCACCTCACAATCATCTCTGCGGCCAGCCCCTGCTGCGCCGTGACAGCTACGGCAGCCAGCGCACCCCTTCCCCACGGTAGGCAAAGGGACACGCGTGTGCCGGGGTGTCCCCAGAGGTGCAGGAGCTGGGGGTGGTGGGGGGTGCGGGGCCCGATCCGGGCCGGCCGGCCAGCCGCGAGGTGGTGCCGTTTCCCCGCAGCTGCGGACTCGCAGCCCCGGTGCAGCCCCGGCTCTTTGGGGCTTGGGCGGGGACGGGCTCCGGCAGCCGAGAAGTGGGCAGCTCGGTCCCATGGACTCGTGAAGAACTCGTCCCCTGCGGGCACTTTCAGGTAAATTTGCGTTTTCGTCAGCGGGAGGAAGCTGTGCGGTGTGGTGGCGGGAGGCCCCGGCGCGCCCCACGCGTGGCTGGGTCTCTCAGGGAAGCACGGCCGCCCACCGGCAGCGTCTCAGCGTCTCTGCTGAGCAGGGTTATGTGGATGCAGCGCAAAGAGTTCTGCTGGGAAACATCTCATCTGACCTCCGAGTGCTGCTTTTCAGGGACCCAACCGCTGTCCACAGGCCTGAAGTCAGCAGAAAACCTTGGCTTTAGCACAAGGAGCTCTTTAGTGAGCCTCATCAGGTAAACTCAGCATCTTTAGGTCTGCTCTCACTTCCCAGCTCGTCAGGTGCCCACCAGCCTTGGGCTTACTCCAGGAATCTGGAGGAGCTGGGCAATGTTCTTGTGCATTGGAAGAATCGGATCTGTGTCAGCCTGGAGGATAGCACCTTGGCTGCAGCGCTGGAGGAGCAGGCGTTCACCACAGACAGTGGCTGCAGATGTTGCAGCCAGTGCACAGCATGCTCCCAGTGCCGCAGGGGTGTTCCCAGCGAGACACTGAGGGGAGAGGTCCACAAACCTGCCTGGCAGATGGAGGCTGTCCTGTGTGAGTCAGGAGCAGCTCACTAGGCTGGCTCTGGCATGACTGGGGCTGAGGTTTGGGTTGTGTCTTGTTTGCTCCAAACCAATTCAGCCTTTAGTGCTCGGGTAGCTTTGGGCTGGGATTCCAGAAAGCCTCAGCAGCTTGGGCCGTGCCTCTGCTGCTCAGTCAGGCATGGCACCGGGGCTCTTGGTTTGCCCCCGGCCTGCTGCTGGGACCACGAGTCGCAGCACAGAGATGCTAGCCCAGGTCCCCAAAACATCAGGGCCGGTTGCTGCTGCTCAAACCTGCCTTGGGCAGTGCCCTGCAGTCTCTGCTAGCAGCCTGCAGCTCCAGAGCCCACTCAGTTGTGAGCAGCACCGCTTTGCATGATATAAACAAAGCCCTGGTTTTTTGAAGTGGTGGTGGGATTTAAGTGCCTGCTTCCTTGCCCTCTTTGGGAGTGCTGGCGCATAGGCAGGACCATGGGGATGAAAGCAATCCCTGGGAGGCAGCAGAAGGAGCATGAGTACCTGGTCAAACTGATGTGCCGTCCGGGTCAGCCGTCTGTGCTGCTGCCGGCCTCATCGTGCCCAGCAGAGCCTGAGGAGCACAGCCCCGCTCCCAGCAGCGGCGAGGCGGAGCACGACATGCTCCCAAAGCCAGCGTGTGCACATGGGGCATGTGGGCATTTTCCAAGCACGGCTGCCGCCGCGTTGCCAAAGCCCCTCACTGCAGCACCCCCACAGGGGCCAGCATGCCTCCACCCTCAGCCCCCAGCGTGGCACTTGCTGGGGCTACGGATGGCCAAAGTGCTCATGGTGGGGTTGAGGCTGCTCTTCTGCGGCCGCACTCCTCCAGCCCCAGGTACAGCTTGGGAAGGTCACTGTTCCATCCAGCCTGCTGATGGCCCTGGGGCTGAGCCGCCACTGGGAGAGAACGTGGGGGTCCCTTGGCGTGGCCGTGTTACACCAAGCAGGCAGTACGGGCCCTGCTGAAGCAGCTAAAGGTCTTTATCTGAAGCTGTTGTGGAAATGAGCCTGTCTGGCAAGTCGTG